TTCAGCAAACTAAGCCAAGGCTGTGACAGTGAGGTCAGAGGCAAACATGTTTTGCAGGAATCAGAGTCATTATCTTGGTTCAAAGATTTAGATTTTTAATGAATCTGTAAAAACTGACATGACACTCTAATTTATTTGATCAGCAACAGGATGTCACGTAACTTGACCAAATTTGATCCAGAATATCAAAGAGTTTTGAAATTCGTCTCCAACCAAAAGATCCAGACCCCACAGCCCAACTTTAAACACATTTACATCAGACTGACCAACTGGACATTGAAAGCTCTGAAGCAAAAAAACCAACAAACCAATGGTGACTCCAAAAGCTAGAGGCTTGGATCCCCGGCCCAACTTTAGACACATTTAAAACAGACTGACCAACTGGACATTGAAAGCTCTGGTGGACTCACGAGATAAATGCAGGAATATTCTAAAACATATGGTGGCTTGGGTCATGTGACCTCTGCAAGCCAATCACAGATGAACAATTTGATGTCATTATATGTCTGGCGGTAAAGAAGACATTGGAAGCCATGGAATGAATGACACCATTGAGTAAAGAAGCAGGCTTGATGAAATAGGGAATATGATGTTCCTTAAATGGTGAAAAGAAGACATAATACAGGGAACATATTCTCTAAATTTCTTTTCCCCCAGTCAATACATAATAACATCATAGGATTTTTAGTCCCAACTAGTAAAATAAGAAACACAATGTTTGTGTAAACCTGTCCAGTTAACAATAAGGAAAATTAGGATTTTTTAAATAGGCAAAGCACACACGCACCTGGTGTTACCACTCTCAAGGAAGATGAGGCTTTTCTTTTTTTAATAAAAGCAAAGACAAACAATGGCTGGTGTAGCCACTACCAAGGAAGATGAGCCATTATTTCTCAGGGCAAACACACACACGCAGTGGTGTAGCCACTACCAAGGAAGATGAGCCATTATTTCTCAGGGCAAACACACACACGCAGTGGTGTAGCCACTAACAAGGAACATGAGCCATTATTTCTCAGGGCAAACACACACACGCAGTGGTGTAGCCACTATCAAGGAACATGAGGCATTATTTCTCAGGGCAACACAAATACGCAGTGGTGTAGCCACTAACAAGGAACATGAGGCATTTGTTAAGAGTGAATGGAACAGCCAGTTGTGATAACACCAGGTCATGTAAATGCCTCACATTCTTAACCATTTTTTGTGTGTGCTTTTCAAGCTTTGCATCAACAGTACCATCTCAGGATCCACTATGGAGTTTTAAAATATAAACTTGTCATAGCAACAATCTACTCGTGAAAATATGGTATACAGTGAATATTTATCATATTTATAATGTATCTATATTTTGGGGGGTTAAAAGAATGGAAGTTTAAAAATAAAAAAGAAAGAAAGAAAGAAAGAAAAAGGCCAAACTTAAAGTTGAAATTAAAAAAATACATTTTAATGTTTGGAAATCATAGTCTGATTTCAGTTCCGAAATGGGTTATATATTTATGTAATATAACATATCATGTAATGTACAAAATGGGTCATAGTATGTATTATAAAAGATCAGGTAATGGACACAATGGGTCTTAGTTATGGAATATAAAACTTGAAATGGACATTAGCAACAAGCCATCAGAGAAAAAAAAGATGTTATAACAAGAAGAACAATTTATATATTTACTAACTTATGTAATGTTGAACAGCACCTCGGCCATTTTGATATGATTTTATCAGATACTTTGGTTGATAAAATATTGGTAGGGTGGGATCCTTAAATAGTCTTAACCCTAGGAAAGGTCAAACATTTAAGCATCTTACTTAGATCTGCATATACAAGAATTGACAAATTGTCATAAATATTGAATAAAAATACAAAACTAGGATTTTTCTGCCACTTCACTCGAAGTTCAGAGGAGGTTGAACTGGAATAACAAGTTAACTAGGGGGTGGGGTTTACATACCGTATGGAGATAATAGATCTGCTGTACATATTCTCTTTTAGACCATTCCATACAGCGTAACATTGATATGAAAATAAACAGAAAGCGGGAAATTCAACCAAAACTTTTTTCAAATTGGAAAAAATTAGAAAAAAAAACTTGATTATTCCAACACACAAATATCTGGCTCAAGTTTGAACAGTGACAGAATGCAAAAGGACTGAAAAGATGATTCTAGACTGATTAGAAATATATTTAACGCTAGCTTGTCATTATTCAGATCAAAGCAAGCAATGCCAATGGGTTTTGTTTGGTGCTTCGAATGATTAAAGAAATAAAGATAATTGGCAGGTTCAAATATGAGTGGCAGACACTGAACCCTCACAGAGAAATAACTGGAAGTTCAGAGGAGTTTCCCCAACACATATTATTTACAAAATACAATATCATTTTTACAAAATTATTGATAAAGTCTCTGTTTAAGAAATATTTACACACTGAGTTTAAACTATAACAAAATAATTCTTAGTATTAGCCAGGAAAAACAACCAAACACCATAACAATAACATACAAAATGATATTTGAAACAGTTTTTCTTAAGAAAAATAATAACAGTTTAAATTTGTTGAGATACAGTAAAGGAAAGAAGAAATTAAAAGAAAACAATAGAAATCCAAAGTGAATAAATTCACAACCAAAGGCCCAGCAGGCATTGTTTGTTTGTATCACTTGCAGCCCTCATGCACAGAGGATCAAACAGAAACCTCTTAGTGTTGGTGACAGTTCTTACAGTTGTGCTGCAGAAAAAAATGGCGATACATACTTGGAGAATGTTAGTTAACAACTCACTGGTATCAGCTTCCTAATGTACACAACCATCTTGTGTCAGCTTGCTAATGTACACAACCCACTTGTATTGGCTTCCTAATGTACACAACCTACTTGTATCAGCTTCCTAATGTACACAACCATCTTGTGTCAGCTTGCTAATGTACACAACCCACTTGCCACCAACTTATTGCTGCTGTAACACACCGAACTAAGGGTCAGTACTTTGAATGAAATAACTGCATCACCAAAGCTTATATTGTTTTCAATTTTTCTTATGCCTCTTCAACAAAGGATTGATATGTCGCAACTATCTCTACACAACTCACAGGGACATTCTCTTGTCCCTCAAAAACTAAACATGTGAATGCCACCATTACAAAGTTTATATTTTTCTCTGTTTTCCAACACTAGTCGACTAAATAACCTCACCCTCTCTGTTTTGACTAAAACTTACACAACATCTTTATTGGAAGCTCCACTGCCATGGTCAAGGTTCAAACAGCAATGAACTCAATCTATAGGACATACAACTGGTGCAATCAGCAGTAACCTCTAGGGCCAATGCACAGTCATTGTGCTATGTTCAAATGACATCTGGTTAATCACATTAAAAAAAAAAAAGCTTCAGGGTTAATGAATATATTGGCCATCATCATTTTGTCAGTCGAATTCAAATATTGGACATCATCATTTTGTCAGTCGAATTCAAATATTGGCCATCATCATTTTGTCAGTCGAATTCAAATATTGGCCATCATCATTTTGTCAGTCGAATTCAAATATTGGACATCACTATTTTGTCAGTCGAATTCAAATATTGGACATCATCATTTTGTCAGTCGAATTCAAATATTGGACATCACTATTTTGTCAGTCGAATTCAAATATTGGACATCATCATTTTGTCAGTCTAATTAATCTGCAACAGCAAAGCATTTGAAGGTAAAAGATACTTAACACCAGTACATCATCACATTACTTGCATGTATATGACATCAATGGTGATAACCAAAGCAAACATTAGCCGGCAGACATTGGATGTGTTAGCCCACTTCCAGGCAAACATGGTATAAAGCAAAAATGATGCAATATACCAGGCAAAAGTTACATTATACCAAAATATTGGAATTTAAAAAACATTCATACGTAGGATGAATTCTAGCCATTGATTAATTTATAATCTCACCATTTCAAAACATCTATGCAATTTTGAAAACATGTAAATGTTGGAAATATAAAATAGTGGGGACATGGAATGCTAATATCAAAAGTATTCATTTCTAAAAGTTAAGCCTGTAATCCAAGTATACATTTGTAAAAAGTAAACCAATAGCTATGCATGCATTAAAAGTATGAGTAGTATGAATTTAATACACAAACACTATTTAAGAGCACACAAAAAATTGATATAAAAAGATAAAATTTTATTATCGATACCTTGAAATGGGGTGACTTTGCCTATTAACTCATAATCTCATATTGTGAAAGTTGTTTTTCATGATTGTCTAGAGTTCTTTCCCCTAAATTTTAAACTGCTAATGAAAGCAGACATATTATTGTAACGTAGCTTTGCCTTCCTCACCTTGCCAAACCACAACAGCTGAAGGTAGGGCCATCATTTTAATTTAATAAAAAATATCCCCATCTTCAGTAGAAAACAAATACAAATTGAGATAACTTTTCTGCAGCGAGCATGAATAATTATTACACACCTAAGCCTAATGGATTTCTTAGTAAGCCTTCAAACAGATCTCTCAGGGGTCCTCAAAAAAACAACAAAATGTCAAAGACAACCAAAACTGAGAGGCAACTGCCAGGAATTGTATAACGGTTTATCTTTTAAATTTTGTTTGAATAGTATCAATGAGGACTATTTTTATAAACATGTTGAGTTGAGACCATGGAGGTGAGGTAGAAAATTGATGTTTATTAGGTCAGAGGGTTGTGGTTGTGTGGCAGGGCATGAAGTGTCCAAACACAAAAATATATGGGTCAAACGTCTTAAATGACAACATCAGACACTGCATAAGGTTAATTAAAAAATACAATTTTTAAAATTGCAGGTGTTAAAAGATAATGGAAGAAATATATTTTATTCAATTTTTTTTTTAAGCAATGATAAAATAATTCAAACATGATGCCGTGTGATTTGGAGTTGTTTTTTTGTTGTTTGTTGCTGGTGTTTTTTTTTTTTTTTGGGGGGGGGGGGGGGGGGGGAAAAGGGGGGGGGGGGAGGGGAGAGAATAGAGTGGGTTGGACGGGAAGGGGAGGGGAAAATAGTTTCGGTACATGAAACTCCACTTCCCTATCATGTGCTTGTTGAGCACAACTTGAGTCCACAGTGGATTGGACATAGAGTCAGGGGAAATGCTAAGAGACAAATGAAAATCAAATGGAGAAGGGATTTAAACAGTGCCTACAAGGCCATGGGTAGTGCATGCATAAAATAGGAGAACTAGAGTGAGAGACTGCCTTTCTTTCCCAAAGAAATGAAAATATGTTTTCTAGCAGGTTACATTCTATAACATCAACATCAGTCCACATTGTAACACTTGGGCATAACCCAAATATAAATCCAGATAACACAAAATTTATTTTAAAAATCTAATAGGCCTTTTAAAAACTCTCACAGTCACAGATTATCAACATAACAACAGCACTTCATTGATTGATTGATTGATGCAAAGACATTGGGAACTTGGAAACATTTAACAAATGCAGTGTTAGTCGGAGCGATGACAAGATGTTAGAATATCATTTTTCTCCTTGAAATCACAAAACCACAAGGCTTTTTTTTCTTCTTGTTTTTTCTAAGCTGATCAGGCGTGAAGCTGATCCCACAATATTGAGAGCTTTCTTCTGGTTAGACACAGTCTTCCATAGACATGAGAAGTGGGTTGACGTACTCAAAGCCATCAAACTCAGACTGGTCAATGTCATTGATGGTCTTCCTGTGGATTGCAAGAAGATAAGGAATATATGCAATGTACCTCATCAATTCTTATCCCCTTGCCGCTCTGACAATCTTTTTTCAAGGAAATGCCAAAGAACCCAAGGTTTAATTTTTCACCATGAACTTGAAGATACATGTAAGTTACAAATTCGGGTAATTATTTTGTACATACAGCTGCACTGGAAGTTAAAGCTTAATATGGTGATTGAGAGTGCAAAAATTTGATGGACATTGTAAGGGCAGCCACTGGTCCAACAGCCAGACCCCGTAATTGTTTTAACTTTCCTAAAGTGTTGGGTTGGTCAACTGTTCATTAATCTCTCAATTTTTACTTAAATCTGAAAAGCAAGTTTTTTTTTGGTGCTTTCAAAATACACTTTTTCTTGTCGTAAGTCTTAGACAAGGTACACTTTCAAACTTACTGTCCTATAAGATAATTATTGCATAAGGTCTAATTTGCCTTAGCCTAATGAACAAGCTGGGATCCAATGTGATCTGGTCAAGTTATTTTTCTCTTAATTTTAATCAAGCAAAGTTAAAACAATTGCCCACATCAATTTTAATCAAGCTAAAAGTAACTCTTTCAGTTACTGTAAGTTGTTGAGGTGTTTTCAAATATGCACAAATATTGGACTTTTAACATTTTCAAAGCGAGTGCCCCTAAGAAGAACGCATACGCTATTTTAAAATTTGCTAATGACATTTAGACTAAACTGATCATATCTGAGCCCTGCAACCTTCAGAGTCGTCCCACTAGACTAAACTGAACATATCTGAGCCCTGCAACCCTCAGAGTCATCCCACTAGACTAAACTGAACATATCTGAGCCCTGCAACCCTCAGAGTCGTCCCACTAGACTAAACTGAACATATCTGAGCCCTGCAACCCTCAGAGTCGTCCCACATGAGCTCTGCCAAGTGTTTCAGCCAGTTGGCTTCAGATAAAGTTAGGAAATGTTGGCTCCAACTTACGGGTCATCGGGGGTCAGGCGCACTGGCTCATTTGTGAAGGCCGGGTCAAAATGTTCAAGGTCGCGCTCATGGCGAATATGAGGCTTGTAAGGGGGGATAATCTGTTTCTGCTCCAACATCTCCCAGTCGATGGTGCGAAAGAATGGATGCGACTGGATGTCAGAGAATCCAGTCTGAGGGTGGCATCCGAGACGCTCAGCAGGAGCCTGGAATTGGGAAAAAGTATGAGCCAAACTTATCGTTTTAATAACAAATATTTCCCAGCCAATCCTTATAAATATATCTGTTGTTTGTGGAGAATGGTCTTAAGAGGGTGAATCTTAAGAAAATATGTGTCTATTGTAAATATATAGTTATATATATTATATAATGACATTAACATCTGTCTTTTGAATAAATTTATTGTGAATACCATGTTTCTTTGATTGATGTCTGTCTTTGATGTCTGTTTTTTGAATGAGTTTATTGTGTATGGTACATGTTTCTTTGAAAGAGTACAATCGTGCTTACCTTATTTAAGAAACCTTTGAGTAAAGAGGCAGCCTTCACTGAGAGAGACCTTGGTATTCTGATGGGCTTTTCCAAGATAACTGCACAAGAAATATCTTATGTGTCAATGAGCCATAATTTAAGAGTTAATACATGAGTGAAACTAGACACGAGCAGCGAACTGACCCGAGCAGCAAACTGACACGTTTTCAAACAGTATATTGCTCCAAGCAACACTCATCATTATTTTTGGATTGACATTAAGTATCTGTTATGAAGAATTCTGAAACTTCTTTAAAAATGTTAAATTACCTTTTACCTGATGAAATGGTAAAAAATTAAAAAACTATTTTTTGCCTACTTAGATAGCAACAATGGCACTGATTTTAATGGACACTAAAAATATTTTTAATGGGATAATCTGTTTCTTTTAAATATTTATATCTGGGTTTAATATAAAAATGATTACATCTGTATTTTTCTCAATTATTTAGTGTGTACAGAGTTAAATATCCTTGATTTATGGTTACCCTCCCCACCTCAAGCATGTCAGGTACAAAGTTACAGGCCCTTCACAACTTACAGACACCTTTTCATTTGACTACATTTAAATTTGTTCACCAAATCAGTCAGCAGTAAAAAAATATTTTAAAATTTCAATATCTCTTATTATATTTTTAGTGTGATTGATTGAATCTACATAGGGACTAAATAGAGTCTACATAGACTACATAGAATCTACATAGTCTACATAGAGACTGCATAGAGTCTATACAGAGACTACATAGAGTCTACATAGAGACTACAGATAAATATCCGACCCCAAAAGCTTTTAAAGGGGAAAAAAGTTGTAATTGATTATCAAATATGTTGAACTTTTCCCCAAAATTTTAAATAAGCACAAAAACAAAATCTGACTAGGATGTTGACTCACTCTGAAATAAATAATCTTCCGTATTCTGGTCAGGGTTGTCCGCGTTGCCGACAGCATCAAAGGGTGATCTGCCGGCCAGCATCTCATACATGAGTACTCCCAGAGCCCACCAGTCGACGCTAAAATCTGGAGGAGAGAAGAACAAAAACACATGCTCATAAACCGGGACCGTACTCAAATATGTTTAAACTATTCAATTATTTATTTTCTAAGTTTAAGGTATGATATGTTTTTTAGCAACTAAACTTATGAATTATTCAACATTTTGGGGCTGGAAGTAATTTTTTACATTTAAAATTTGAATTGAACAATATATTAAAGTAATTAAATTTTAAGATTGAACAATAGTATTTTAATTATGAGATTGGTGATTAAATAGAAGATATTGGTCATTAACATGCATAAGGTAGTGAAATATTTCAGTAAAGAAATCTATCATCACTAAGTGACATATCTATCTTGATTACATTCTGCACATATGCTAAGTGTTAACAGGCACTAACAGGTTCAGAGGCCATCCCATCTCATGGGAAGTAGAGAGTTCTTATAAATAAATTTAACATAATTGGGGTTCTGATAAGGAATAGATTGGAAGAGATTGCCTCAGGGAGCAGGGAGGTTATAAGAGGCATTGAAAGCACTGTTATAACTTATCTGTCCTTACTACCAGTGTCCATATTATAATCATGACATTGAACTGGCCACCATGAAAACATTTGAGCCTAGTTTTGTAGTAATGCTTAATATCCCAGCCATCCCATATGCGCCAGCTATGCCTGATTACCCGGCTGCATGGGCATTCGTAATCTATAAAGATATGTGGCTCCCAAATATATATTAAGGTCTGATTAATTGCTGTTACTAAACAAACAAAAAACTCAACCCACTTAATAATAATATAATTTTAAAATGTAATTTTTTTAGAAGGTTTGAAATGGTCTAGAAATTTTTTACATTAATCAAAAACAAGAAAAAAAACACAAATATGCTATCAACCTTTGCCCCACAGTGCTTTCCTCTTGTGGGCCAGCTCTAATCAGCTGCAACCATCTCCCACCACCTCCATCCACCCCCACCACCACTTCCAACTTTCCCCCAACATTTTAATTTCTTTTTATAGTGAGAGACTTTTCAACTATTTGTAACAAGTTAGATTTGAGTCTGCCCAAACAGGATTGATTCCAGGCCAGACATATGAGTGAGTCACATATGGGTTTAATCATAGGTGAGACATACAGGTTTCATCACAGGTATGACATAAAGGTTTGATCCCAGGTGAGAAATTTTAGAAGAATATCTGCAGGACATATTTTGCTGTGCAGAGAACTTCAACATCAGCCATTGCCCATATGAAGTTTAAATCAGTAGTTTCTTTTAATCCAACAACAATGGATTAGACATAATATCATGCACCACTTTTTGAGGCCCACAATTTAAAAGACCATTAAAAAAGATAACAAGAAATTTATTTTTAAAAAGTTGTAATAATTTATCTTTCCAACCTTATTGAACTCTCTAGATTTGTATAAGTGACCTGGAAGGGAATCTCTCAAGCAGTTGTGTTAGGAGAAACACTGTCCTTATTCTGAAAGGGCTCTCAATCAGTGGCCTCACAAATATTGCACCAATTCCTTGATGGGAGGGGATGGGTGGGCTTGTCAAGGGGTCATTCATTCAATAACTATTGCCCCATCCAACCATTGCTTTACAGAGACTTGGTAAAAGCAAAGAAAAATTGTGTGATCAGAAAGTCAGGAATAATGAGAGGAAATGTAGCCAAGAGGTGAAAGGGAGGTAACACACTTGTCTCATTAAATGGCATACATTTGTGCATGTTAAATATCATGCAGAGAAGAAAACTCGATGTTTGTTAATACAATTTTTTAAAATAAAATCTAAAGTGGAAATTTAAATTTAAAAAAAAAAAAAAAAAAAAAAAAAAAAAAAAAAAATAACACAAAAAAAAAAAAAACAATTTTTTAAAATAAAATCAAAAGTGGAAATTTAAATTTAAAAAAAAAAAAAAAAAAAAAAAAAAAAAAAAAAAAAAAAAAAAAAAAAAAAAAAAAAAAAAAAAAAAAAAAAAAAAAAAAAAAAAAAAAAACAAGAGCAAAGCAAAGGTCTGCACACAATAAAAAAAAGGATTTAAAAAAATTTTAGTGGATAAAAACTCCAAAGCATTCCATTGGGCTGATGTGACAACAGAGTGTACCATAATCATCTCCTCTCAGAACCTCTGGTGCGATGTAATTTGGTGTTCCACAGAACGTATTGGTTTTGTCGCCAGGCTTTAGGTTCTCCTAGAACCAAAGAACATGGGCTTAAAAACAGTTTGTTTGAGTGTTGAGTGGGGGGAAGTCTGCTGGATGAGGCGATGGAACAAGGCGATCGGATGAAGACGGCGGCCATGATGACGATGGGATGGAATGAGGTACTGGCAAGAGATGGATGCTTATGGTTTAAGTGTCGACAATATCACTCCAAAAGATATAACAGGATGCCATTTTGGATACGGTGGCTAGAAATGTGATCCTATGACAGAGGGTGATACGTGCTAAAGGAACTCATGTCAGTGTGATATGAAGACATATGCTGATAACAAGCCTTTATGACATGATGCAAAGAATGATAAATAGACAAAATGGTGAGTGAAGAAATGACATTGCATATTACGTAACATGATGCTGAAGAAGAAGAATCATATGACATGTTTCATACAATGGTATGTTAAAGGTATGCGTTGTACATCTGCATAATACTAATGAGAGTCAGGATTTATAAATGTCAAAACAGGTGACAAAAATGTCACTGATGTTAAATTAATATGGTGCTAAAAAAAAATTGATGGCACAAAAAAAAAAGTTTGATGATCAGACGATTTGATAGGAATTTGATGTCAAAGGTGAAAATTCTGAAATTTTTTTCCTGCAAAAGATCATGAAGCCACAGTGAGGTTGAAGCAGCAGCACATCAAGAAAACAGTCCAAGCTAATAAGTGCCGCTGGAACTACTGGTGAACCAAACTCAAGCTAGTTAACAGAGTTGGAAAACACTGACAAGACTCTGATGCCAAATGTATAGGCCACTGTGTGGATAACAAGTACCAATAAATAGACAAAAGACAACAAAAAGGACACCACCAGAGAGCCCAGCCGTCTCAGTCTTCTATTTAATTTCATCCAATAAGTCTGTGGACTCATTTTTACAATAGCGACCTGTGTTATTTTTTTTGTTGTTTCTTGGTGGTTGATTAGATGACATGAATAGAGGCTAGGTTCCTTTTTTTCTTTTCACAATCATATATATTCAAGTAGTTTTTGTCAGCCGATGACGGCTTTCAACTGGAATTTTCGGTCAAATTGATGTACCTTTCATTCCACTTACATTTAATTTCTTCCCCTTTTCACTTTGAAGAGCTTTATGATGGTCTGAACCCTTATAAATAGTTGTATGTCCTACACCTTCCATATTATGCTCATTAACAGTTGAGTGGTCTCCAGAGTGAGATGAGGGCACTACAAGGGCTGTAGCCATTGATGCGCAGGGTGCGCCGGAAATTTGACGTAATTTTATCTAACAGTTATTAAAGCCAATCTATCAAACTGATGAGCATTTTCTAACCCTGGTGTGTTGTGTACGTGTACGTCAAAAGTAAAAGCTGTACAACAAATAAGTTAAAAGATTGAAGGGGTTGATTATTTTGATTATAGAGCCTGACACACTAGTTATATCAGTGAGACCGGGAGCCCAACACAATATAGTTATATCATTGACACTAGGAGCCTGACACACTACAGTTATATCAGTGAGACCAGGAGCCTGACACAATACAGTTATATCAGTGAGACCAGGAGCCTGACACACTACAGTTATATCAGTGAGACCAGGGGCCTGACACACTAGTTATATCAGTGAGACCAGGAGCCTGACACACTACAGTTATATCAGTGAGACCAGGAGCCTGACACACTACAGTTATATCAGTAAGACCAGGAGCCTGACACACCACAGTTATATCAGTGAGACCAGGAGCCTGACACACTACAGTTATATCAGAGAGACCAGGAGCCTGACACACTACAGTTATATCAGTGAGACCAAGAGCCTGACACACTACAGTTATATCAGTGAGACCAGGAGCCTGACACACTACAGTTATATCAGTGAGACCAGGAGCCTGACACACTACAGTTATATCAGTGAGACCAGGAGCCTGACACACTACAGTTATATCAGTGAGACCAGGAGCCTGACACACTACAGTTATATCAGTGAGACCAGGAGCCTGACACACCACAGTTATATCAGTGAGACTATGAGCCCGACACACTACAGTTATATCAGTGAGACCAGGAGCCTGACACACCAGTTATATCAGTGAGACTATGAGCCCGACACACTACAGTTATATCAGTGAGACCAGGAGCCTGACACACTACAGTTATATCAGTGAGACCAGGAGCCTGACACACTACAGTTATATCAGTGAGACCAGGAGCCTGACACACTACAGTTATATCAGTGAGACCAGGAGCCTGACACACTACAGTTATATCAGTGAGACCAGGAGCCTGACACACTACAGTTATATCAGTGAGACCAGGAGCCTGACACACTACAGTTATATCAGTGAGACCAGGAGCCTGACACACTACAGTTATATCAGTGAGACCAGGAGCCTGACACACTACAGTTATATCAGTGAGACCAGGAGCCTGACACACTACAGTTATATCAGTGAGACCAGGAGCCTGACACACTACAGTTATATCAGTGAGACCAGGAGCCTGACACACTACAGTTATATCATTGAAAGCTGGTGGTAGAGGTTGTTAGTTCCCATATGAATAAAATCAAGAAAATGGAGTTTGAAAAGAAGCCTTTGCCTTTTCTCTCCATCTCCATTTGTCTTACCATACTCTTCTCCCCTCAATATTTCTGGTGCAATGTAGTTTGGAGTTCCACAGAATGTTCCAGTTGTGTCCCCTGGCTTCAAGCCTTCCTGTGTTTTGTTGTGGTGATTGTTTTAGATGTGGTTAAAACATAAACAAAGAGCAATGAAATAGAGGTCAGAGGTCATAGTAAATGCCATAAAACAGCGGTTTCCAACCTTTTTGACTCAAGGAGCCTTTTTTGAATCAATTTCTAAGGGGGATCCCCTTAGGCCTACCCTACAAGTTGATGGTGTACATGAGTGTCCAGGAGAAGTTACACGGAACCCTTACTCTTAAGGTCTCTGCGGAGCACAGATTGGGAACCGCCGCCATAAAAAAAATAATTTTTAAAAAAACTATAGGATGGAAGAGAGTTCATGGTCATTAACATTCACAAACAGGAATGAAATAGAGGTGAGAGGCAGCTAAAGCAGTTGTCAAAAATCTTACATCCTAAATTTATTTGTGAAGCATGCATGTGAACCAAACACTACTTTAAAATGATTAGGTGTATGTGGAATAAAAGGAAAGTAAGAATCTATAGCAGTTATGTTATTCAACACATTTTAAACAATAATTTGATGCTAATACCAAGATGTTTCCCCTCTAAAGCTCCAAAAGACACCCTCCCCCCACCTCTTAACCCATAAAAATAAACTTTGGTCTTTAATCGTGTCATTAGAGGCCAATGCAAAAAAATGATACTAAAAAAAGACATGATTCAACTACAAACTAATAGTGTGAATGTGACAGTCCAGTTGTGAATGTGATGGTCCAGCATTGAAGTTCATCAATGAAGAATGTGGTAAAGATTTGTAGATGATGCAATGCAATGATGGAGGCACTGTAAGAATTTTATCAAGTCAGGCAGAACACAAATTGTAGAAAAAAATAAAAGTACTAATAATTTTAATGATGATAATCATAGTAATAATAGTATCAATAATAACACATATTAAAGAAATTTAAATAATTATCACTAAAAATAAAACCAGCTATTAAAGATATCATTATTTAACTGGTGCTTTTTAGCTTACTGATATACCATATGTATTTATATATCAATATAATAGGACTGCCCGAATAAACATCTTTAAGACAGTCACATTGAAAGGCCAGCCGAAATACCTTCTTTAGACGAGGAACAAGTGTTGAAATGCAAAGTGCATGTCGAAATATTCATGATGCATGTTTAATTGTTCATGTTGAAATGTTCATGAAGCCTGTTTAATTGTTCATGTTGAAATGTTCATGATGTATGTTTAATTGTTCATGTTGAAATGTTCATGAAGCATGTTTAATTGTTCATGTTGAAATGTTCATGAAGCGTGTTTAATTGTTCATGTTGAAATGTTCATGAAGCGTGTTTAATTGTTCATGTTGAAATATTCATGAGGCATGTTTAATTTTTCATGTTGAAATGTTCATGAAGCGTGTTAAATTGTTCATGTTGAAATGTTCATGAAGTGTGTTTAATTGTTCATGTTGAAATGTTCATGTTGAAATGTTCATGAAGCGTGTTTAATTGTTCATGTTGAAATGTTCATGATGCATGTTTAATTTTTCATGTTGAAATGTTCATGATGCATGTTTAATTGTTCATGTTGAAATGTTCATGAAGCATGTTTAATTGTTCATGTTGAAATGTTCATGAAGCTTGTTTAATTGTTCATGTTGAAATGTTCATGATGCATGTTTAATTGTTCATGTTGAAATGTTCATGAAGCGTGTTTAATTGTTCATGTTGAAAGGTTCATGAAGCTTGTTTAATTGTTCATGTTGAAATGTTCATGAAGCTTGTTTAATTGTTCATGTTGAAATGTTCATGATGCATGTTTAATTGTTCATGTTGAAATGTTCATGAAGCGTGTTTAATTGTTCATGTTGAAAGGTTCATGAAGCTTGTTTAATTGTTCATGTTGAAATGTTCATGATGCATGTTTAATTGTTCATGTTGAAATGTTCATGAAGCGTGTTTAATTGTTCATGTTGAAATGTTCATGAAGCGTGTTTAATTGTTCATGTTGAAATGTTCATGAAGCATGTTTAATTGTTCATGTTGAAATGTTCATGAAGCATGTTTAATTGTTCATGTTGAAATGTTCATGAAGCGTGTTTAATTGTTCATGTTAAAATGTTCATGAAGCGTGTTTAATTGTTCATGTTGAAATGTTCATGAAGCATGTTTAATTTTTCATGTTGAAATGTTCATGAAGCGTGTTAAATTGTTCATGTTGAAATGTTCATGAAGCGTGTTTAATTGTTCATGTTGAAATGTTCATGAAGCGTGTTTAATTGTTCATGTTGAAATGTTCATGAAGGGTGTTTAATTGTTCATGTTGAAATGTTCATGAAGCATGTTTAATTGTTCATGTAGAAATGTTCATGAAGGGTGTTTAATTGTTCATATTGAAATGTTCATGATGTATGTTTAATTGTTCATGTTGAAATTTTCATGAAGCATGTTTAATTGTTCATGTTGAAATGTTCATGAAGGGTGTTAATTGTTCATGTTGAAATGTTCATGATGTATGTTTAATTGTTCATGTTGAAATGTTCATGAAGCATGTTTAATTGTTCATGTTGAAATGTTAATGAAGCGTGTTTAATTGTTCATGTTGAAATGTTCATGAAGCGTGTTTAATTTTTCATGTTGAAATGTTCATGAAGCATGTTTAATTGTTCATGTTGAAATGTTCATGAAGCGTGTTTAATTGTTCATGTTGAAATGTTCATGAAGCGTGTTTAATTGTTCATGTTGAAATGTTCGTGAAGGGTGTTTAATTGTTCATGTTGAAATGTTCATGATGTATGTTTAATTGTTCATGTTGAAATATTCATGAAGCATGTTTAATTGTTCATGTTGAAATGTTCATGAAGCGTGTTTAATTGTTCATGTTGAAATGTTCATGAAGCGTGTTTAATTGTTCATGTTGAAATATTCATGAGGCATGTTTAATTTTTCATGTTGAAATATTCATGAAACGTGTTAAATTGTTCATGTTGACATGTTCATGAAGTGTGTTTAATTGTTCATCTTGAAATGTTCATGTTGAAATGTTCATGAAGCGTGTTTAATTGTTCATGTTGAAATGTTCATGAAGCGTGTTGAATTGTTCATGTTGAAATGTTCATGATGCATGTTTAATTGTTCATGTTGAAATTTTCATGAAGCATGTTTAATTGTTCATGTTGAAATGTTCATGATGCATGTTTAATTGTTCATGTTGAAATGTTCATGAAGCATGTTTAATTGTTCATGTTGAAAAGTTCATGAAGTGTGTTTAATTGTTCATGTTGAAATGTTCATGAAGCATGTTTAATTGTTCATGTTGAAAAGTTCATGAAGTGTGTTTAATTGTTCATGTTGAAATGTTCATGAGGCATGTTTAATTGTTCATGTTGAAATGTTCATGAAGCATGTTTAATTGTTCATGTTGAAATGTTCATGAAGCGTGTTTAATTGTTCATGTTGAAATGTTCATGAAGCATGTTTAATTGTTCATGTTGAAAAGTTCATGAAGTGTGTTTATTTGTTCATGTTGAAATGTTCATGAAGCGTGTTTAATTGTTCGTTTAATTGTTCATGTTGAAATGTTCATGATGTTTGTATGTCAAAATCGTCATGTGAAATGTACATGATGCATGTTAAAATGTTCACGAGGCATGTTGATACATTCAAACTCCATGTCAAAATATTCATGACATGTGTTGATGTGTTGCAAAGAAATAATTATTATGTTACTTTTTCGTCTCCATTTCTAGTGACTGAGTTATCCCTTGCCTTTTGGTTTTTTTTAAAATAGATTGATCTTGTTTATCATTTTTTTAAAGGTAAATTTAGACCACTGACCTTACACATGCCATAATCAGTCAGTTTGATGTGTCCTTCAGCGTCCAACAAAACGTTGTCTAGCTTCAGGTCTCTGTACACTATACCTGGTGGAGAATGGGGGGAAAAAACAAACATTCTACAAGCCAGTCAGAGTAAAACCTATGTACACAAAACATTAGGGGTGTGCAGGATCCGTTTTTTCCAACCGGATCCGGATTTTCTTATGCGAAATCCGCCGGATCCGGATTCCGGAATAATCCGGATTCCGGTTTCTCCCGGATTCCGGATTTTCGAACTATTGGTAGATACTTCGGGAAGTCAAGGTAGACTACTACTTTTTGTGTATGGGAATTCGCAATCGGCGCCAAAAAATCCGAGTTTTTAATTTTCCGATGTGTGTGTCTATTTATTATTAAATTAGTACTTTCGATATATATTTGAGTTCCGTTTTCGGCCTTATAATTAGGTAGACATCTTGGCCTACATTTTAATCAATTACTTTTTTCATTTACCATCAGTCAGCTTTGAGAAAATCCTTGGTAAATATAAGGCAACTTTCATCATTAAAATTAAGTCGAAGGAAAAAATTTGTCACTACCAAATTTTTTTTGCATCTGGGGAATCTATTGATCTACACGTATGCCAATTTTCACAGCGATAAGTGTCTTACGAGAGACGCCATGTTTCTACGCGTTCGCAGCAGGTCATGCAGCTCGCTCAACCTAATTTCGCCATGGGGTTGGCCACGCCCCCCTTTTTAATGGCGGAAGTTGACGATACTTAGGAAATATTAATTTATTATCACTATTTACATCAAAATAATTGATAACTTGTGTTTCAGAATGCATTTAAAGACATTTAAACTGGAATGTTTTAATTTGAGCTTTAACAACCCGGTAGAATCCATATTATAAATGATCAGAATTTACCGTGTGCAACACGTTGTCATTGGCAACCATTCACAGCCACTTGCATAACTGTATCGTAGTACTACCTCAGAGTTTCATTCATAAGAGTTTGCCGTGTGCAAAAACTATTAAACCATTGGTCAGGGAAAGCTTTAATTAATTATTCATGTGCCAAAGTTGAAAGTTTAAACTAAGTCTAAACAGTATTTTAGTGATAAGGATGGGAATGTGTTGCCTTATATAAACTATATAGTCATTGCGCATGACGCGATCAGTGGAATGAGGTCACAGAATGTGGAGATGCAGTCCATGTTAAAAAATGACAAACCAAGTCGTACTTTAAAAATTCATAACTTTAAAACTACAACAGCTAAAAATATGATTTTGGTGTTATAATTCATTAAAAAATTACCTCTTTTCAACTATGCCATTGGTTTATTTTTACAAAAAGTTTAAATTTTCTTATCAAAGTCCCTACTATTGGCCACTATTAGCGGTGCTGACTCTAGCCTCTGGTATGTTCGGAATATTAAACATTAAACAAGCTCAACGCTCGAAACAATCGATTAATGTATCGTGATCGTGTGGAATTTGGGAAAGAGAATTACTTTTATTTCAGATTATGATCTGGTGAGTCACAAAATCTGGCAAATTCCGAAATCCGGTATATTTCGGATTCCGGTTGTTCTGGATACATGTAAATCCGGCGGAACCGGATTTCACCGGATAGTGCAAAATCCTGCGGAACCGGATTCCGGACCGGATTCCGGCACACCCCTACAAAACATGGACCCAATGCCCCACACATTTTGTACACAAAACATGGACCCACTACAGCACAACCTCTGTACACAAAACATGGACCCAATACCCCACACATTTTGTACAAAAACATGGACCCAATACCCCACACATTTTGTACACAAACAATGAACCCAAATCCAAATCAAAAAAAATAATGCAATTTAATTTACTAAAACTACTCATCTCCTTTGTTACATGTACACTGCACTTAATAAAACTATCACTAAATCAGGAGCGGGAAACTTTCTGTGTCCAAAGGGTCGCATGGAAATGTTTTTTTTTACAGCTGCATGATAATTCTATAGGAATCATTTAAGATGGTCTTTGAAAATTCACCCAGAGTTCAGTTAAAAAATAAGCTGGTAATAATGTTTAACACAATATTATTAAATTATTATTATTATTATGACTCAGCTTGACAATAAATTCTACACTAAGATAATTAATTTTCAAAAGCTTTTACAGATAATCATTCAAAATTTGTACATTTTAAATGAAAATTAACCCAGTTTCCGAAGGTCTAGCTGGCCAGTTGAAACTTTTCAGTTGGCCGCATGTGGCCCACCTATGACTCCACAACTGCTCAAGGTAGTACCAAGTCATGACTTACCTCTTTCATGAAGAAAGTTCAGTGCCAGGCAAATTTCAGCAGCATAGAACCTGGCGTGTTCCTCGGGCAACCTCCTCTGTCTTTGCATGTGGAACATCAGGTCACCACCATTGACAAATTCAATCACAAAGAACAGTCTGGCCAAGGCAGAATGGGGTGGAAAAATAGGAATATCAACAGTTAAAACTATATGAAGGGCATAACTACAGTTAACACTAGTGCCATATACACATTTATTACTGGTACAACATACATTCACTAGTACGATGTTAAATAAGCAGCTCACGGTAATCATCAGTACAACATAAACACATGGTATTATCAGTCCCCATAATGCAAATTTGATTTCAGGAAACTGACTATGATCTTTCCTAGGAAGGGTAAATATTTCATTTTAAATTCAAAAGTCTTTAAATGGATTTAAAAAGCAAGTTACATTGTTTGAAAATGACAAAGAAATAATATCCCAATGACTTGATAACTATCATAAAAAAAAACAACCGACAAGGTCAATAATCGACAAACCATGATATTAATATCTTTACAAACAATGACTAGCAGTGTAACTGAGCTTGACATAGTTTTAAAAACACCCACCCCACCCCACCCCTTCTGTACCTGCTGGAAGTCTGGAAGCAGGAATGTAGTCCAACAAGGAATGGATAGTTAGTGGCAGCCTCAAACACATGCTTCTCTGTCTGTACCCAGTCAATGTCCTGTGTGGAGAATAATCAAAGATAGGTTTAAGGTCAACATTTGTGATATTTTTTTTTAACTAGATAAAGTCTGGCTACAGCTACTTCTACAAAGAGCTACTTTTAATCACAGGCTTACTACAGCTACTTCTACAAAGATCTACTTTAAATTAATCACAGGCTTACTACAGCTACTTCTACAAAGAGCTACTTTAAATTAATCACAGGCTTACTACAGCTACTTCTACAGAGAGGTACTTTTAATCACGGTTTTCTTTAAGGTGGTGTTGCTTTCTGCACCAGCGTGCAGCTGTCATATAAATCACTGACCTCGTCATCATTGACGAGCTCCTTCTTGATGACCTTCATGGCATAGATCCTCTTCGTCTTCTTGTGTTCTACCTGCAAGACCTTAGCGTAGCTCCCTCTGCCAATGACCCGCAGCAGCTGGAAGTGGTCAAGCGTCAACTGACCACTATCTGCATTACCTGGAGATGGCTATATTGAAGAGAGAAAAAAATAGTCTGTACAAGAGAAAAATTCCAAGGGGTTGCTACAGTTGAAGTGTCATAGTGAAACCATTATTTCTAAAAGAATACTGATTGGTTATTAAGAAACATATAGTCTCTTTCCTGATTGGATAGCTATTTTTAAAATGGATTTCAATCTGTAAAAGGACTAAACGGTTTTTTGAATTTTTAAAATAAAGATTAAAATAGTTGCATTTGAAAAAAAAAAAATTAATAAAATACATATGAAATGTTCATACAGGGGCATGAAATAATTTAGTCTAGAAACACATACTACTACCACCATTAAGCCATACAACATATGTGAGGTGATGATATGTGACATATGTGGCTCTTATCAATTAATACAAATTCAATACATTTATATGTAATCATAAATGGCTGAGACAAAAATGTATGATGATGTCTGAGTGAGAATAATCTTCATTATAGCAAAGACGTGGAAAGTTTCTTACCTCAACTTTCACTGTCTGCCAGGGTCAAGGGTCAAGTTATGAAAAGAGAAAACCAAAAGGAAAAAATGCAAAGAGTTAGTGAGCAATCAGGCGCTAATATTAGATACACTTGTTACTACCTATCGCTGGGTGGCACTCAACTAGATCTATAAAATGTACTAGACGCACACATTGAGATAGATCTTGAATAGACAATAATGATAGAGCAAGAGACTTCATGGTGGAATATGTTGTGTAAATAAAGACTATGGGTTCCAATGAAGCAAATGAAAACAACCACATTTGTTTGATTATATTAGGATACTCAGTTGGTGGTTTTTTTACAATTAATTATGAAAAAATGACTTTTTTTTTTAAAACAGTTCCTAACCTGGGGCATTGGCCTCTTCGTATATTTTTTAACAAAGTGCTGGTGGTTTGCTGATAAGCTTTGAAAAATATTTTGTTTCATTTCGGCACACAATGCTAATGATGTCTGCCTCATAAACAGTAGGTGGTGGGTTCCAATTTGTGGGAGGAATAGAGCTGTGTGGCCAGTGAGCCAGCCAAGTCTTGGACAGACTTGTGCGGCCAGTGAGCCAGACAAGTCTTGGACAGACTTGTGCGGCCAGTAAGCCAGACAATTCTTGGACATGAGGAAAAACCTGAGTGAAAAAACTTCAACCACCAAAGTTGCAAGACGGCAGGCCAACTCTGGATCGGACAGAATATTATTGAATGTAGGATGTCAGCACACACTAAAATCAACGATAAGTGTCAACAGAATAACTATGTGTAATGTATGAGATCTGGGCTGCAGGGTGAGAAGTTGTTCCTTTGATGAAAATAAAGTTTGTTATCCAACCCAGATAAGAACAAACTGGCAACTGGCTTTACAAACTATAGATTTCTGGATATTTTTTATATAAATTTAAGGGATCTCACTCAAGCCAGAATATGATGATTCTCATATAACTAAAAATCCCTGTTAACGATAATGAACACTCATCTGTGCATAATATGAAAATTAGAAAAGCAGTGCAATGTACAAATTAAAATAATTTTTGATAAGAATTCAAATAAAATGGGTAGCTCTAACAACCAGCAAATGATAATTGCAAAGTTTAATTAACTCTAAGAAATTGTTAAAAACTGTCCTTTTCTTTTTTTCTTCTTAAATAAACAAAATTATTTTAAAACAAACAGGTAGCACATACAAATTGTTCTTTGTTTTATGTGACAGCTCAAGCAGATAGGACATTTTTAAAGAAATAAATAGAGTTCCTTGATAACATTATATAACCTACTAAAAAACATGAGAGGATTTTTTGGGCCCATGAAAAGTTATTTATAGATATTTAACTTTAAATAAAAACACAAATAAAACTGACACAACATCTATAAACGTGATTTTTAAAAAAAAAAATCTAGCAGCACAGAATTCTGAATTAAATAAATATTTAAAGCAACACAGCAAACCTAAAATGCAAAATAAACTTTAAAGATATCCAGCCGAAGTTAGGCATAGATATTAATGCCAGTATTTTATCCAGGGGATAGCTTACATTTTATTAGCTGTTCTTTTTTTAGCAATGTAACTATAATTAATGTTACAACGGTCGTTTAAAAAAAGCTCTCATTTATAAATGTATAAACAATTAAAGGAATTAGATTCAAATAACTTAACCAAAATTATTTAAAGGCAATATGTAAATGTAGATTTTTTAAAACAAAATTTTTTTTTATGCACACAGGAAACCCAGATTGAATAGGTGCAGTAAGAATCTGGAGATACCTGATATAGAAAATGCAGATGAAACCACTCCAGCATGTGCATATAAAGAATGTGTTCTGAATATTATAGTATTTATCTTGAGATGCCCACACATTCTGCACTTTATACCAAATAAACCACTCCAGCATGTGCATATAAAGAATGTGTTCTGCATATTATAGTGTTGACCTTGAGATGCCCACACATTCACCATTTTATGTCATTCCTGACATTGTTTTTCCTGATTTGGTTTATTGATAGCACGTACTTAATCCTCAGTCTCTGATAATGAACAGCCGACACCGGATCATCTCCAAATTGACAATGACCAACATTTGACAAAGAGCATTCCTGCACACTTACAGCAATTTAGGAGGAACCAACAATTTTATAATTACAAACTTAATCATTTTTAAAAGTCCAATGAAACAATACAACACTGAGAATGATTAGCTTTTTAACACAAAGCCTAGCACTAGTCCAGGCGGAGTACACCAAACATAAGCTCAAGTCAGAGACAAATATGCTGCTAGTCCTGGTGAGGTATACCAAACATTAGCTCTAGTCATAGAAATATATGCCAGTTGTCCTGGTGGGGTATACCAAACATTAGCTCAAGTCACAGAAATATATGCCAGTTGTCCTGGTGGGGTATACCAAACATTAGCTCTAGTCATAGAAATATATGCCAGTTGTCCTGGTGGGGTATACCAAACATTAGCTCAAGTCACAGAAAAATATGCCGGTTGCGTTTTAAGTAGCTGTATATTTTAAAATCTCTTGTTGCTGCTAAATGAGTAAATGTCTTGTTTTAGGTTAATCAAATGTTCATTGCAAGAAAACTAACAAGTTTGAAATAGGATATTTGGTAGAAAATCAGGGCTGTTAAGCACATCAGTCATGGTTTGGGGGTGGGGGGGGGGGGGGGGGGGTGGGGGGGGGGGGGGGGGGGGGGGGGGGGGGAGCCTTTGGATCATTATAACATATAAAAGCAGATAGATCATATGCATATGTACACATATCTATTTTAAGGGTGACCATATTTTGTTTTACAATAAACTGTAGATATTAGCTCCATTGTGATAATAAGGGGGAAACATCTGAACCAAAAAGAGAGTACTCTTTTTAAAAAAGGAAATTTTTAATAAATGGTCCCAGGTGTTCTTTTATGTTGTGGATTCCACCATATTGCCTCATGGAGATTGGTTGATAAAGATTGATTGATTGATAAAGATTGCAGTGATACAATATAAGGACAAGTGCATGATCCCACACACAAATGAATTGGTACTTTGAAAAATATCTTGAAATTTTTAAATTGAATCTTATGAATTTTGTTACAGTTAATTACTTTAACAAAAGTGTTTTTCGTATTTGATTTTTAAAAAAAATAATTTCCACTATATGGTCACCCTTGGATATGTTCTGCCCTTCATTTTATGAAGAGCATGTTGTCTGGCCCTTATCAGAGTAACATGCCCTTACACTTGTGCACATTAGTAGAAGCGTAAAATAAAAAAATATGTGAGCTTGTAATCAGAGGTCAGGATGTGTACAAGGTGTTAGAGATACCCCCCCCCTCCTTTTCCCCATCAATCAACAACAAATACAATAATATATGTGGCCAAATAGCTGTTTTTTGTGTCAATATTTTAGTTTAATAGTTTTTAAAAAAACGTTCACTGTTGTAGATTCTTATCAGTGTTTAAGGATTTGCCTCAAATTTTATAACTGTCTTTATTGACAAAAATAAATCTAAGAAAACAAAATTTATTTACAATTATGTTTCTTTTTTTTTCATTTTTTCATATTAAGTTCATAAAAAAAATGTTCACATTTTCTTAAGTGTATGCGATTTTTAAAATTCCTAACAACTCCCTTTAAATTTGCTTTTATTTTAAAAAATCTAAATTTTATGTGGACAATAAGTATAATAACGCTTCAATACCACTTATCAGCTTGCACCTTTCAATGCTCCTATTATTAAAACACGGAAGTGGATTTTTCTTTCTTTTACCAATTAACATACAGAAATAAAACATGTCACGAAACAAAAAAGCTGGGTGCAGTAATAATATGCAATGATGGGCACAGCAAAACATGAATAGAAAAATGAACCAAAAATGACTATAAACCATTCCAGCCATGAGCGCAGGCAACAGACTCCAACAGACACACAGGCCGAAAATAGAGCGTCTAACGTCAGACAAACATAAACTTTGACAAAAAGCATGTCTCCAAAAAAAATTTGTTTAAATACTTATAATGATAATGTTGGCTTATGATGTTGTAAAAAAAAATTAAGTTGGTGTATACCCAGTTGGACTCGGCATCATGGAAATGATCCTCTTCCTCATCATCATCGCATCCAGCCTACAAACATGAGGGTGGAAATAAAATACAGTCGACTTGCCATGAGTCATTGTCAACAAAACAATATTTTTCTTTTAAACGGTGCCATGGCTGTTTTGGGCCTTGCGTAAAAAGAGGGTCCCTAAAGCAATTATGTACTTTATATAATTTTAATTTCTTTAACATAGACCTATATCTTAATGCTGTATGCACTAAAATTATTGGACACTTTTTATAAGTTAATCATGAAGGGCCACCAAATAAGTGCCCCTAAAACCTGTTAGGCTGAAGAAAGCAAATGTCTTCAATTAATACTGCCAATAAAGCAGGTAATCATTCAGAGCCACAGCTTACAAAGGCTGATCATCTTAGAGGGGAGAGAACTTTAGCCCATGACTGAATGGAAGGTGGGCACTCACTAATAAAAAACAAAAGATTTTTAAAAATAAAATATTTACATAAAAAAACCCACACATAGCACAGTCAATGCCTAAAATAATGCTAAAAAAACATTGTACATTTGTACAGGGCTTTGGAGCTTTATAATCCCCAGAACTGGAGCAGGGCTCCACAAAAATTACCTGGTGCTGAGTAGGAGGGGAGCACTAAAAAATGTGCAACCTCCAAAACCCTGTTTTTGTAAGACATAGGCAAAAACCCTATCAAACCTAAAAAAACAACAAACTTGTTGATAGCAAATTAAAGTCAAAGTGACAAGACATCTATCAATTACAATCAACCATTGGACTAAGGACAGTAGAAATTAAATTACAAAAAAAAAAAAAAAAAAAAAAAAAAAAAAAAAAAAAAAAAAAAAAAAAAAAAAAAAAAAAAAAAAAAAAAAAAAAAAAAAAAAAAAAAAAAAAAAAAAAAAAAAAAAAAAAAAAAAATAAAAAAAAAAAAAACAGTTAAAAAAAAAATAAAAAAAAAAAAAAAAAAAAAAAAAAAAAAAAAAAAAAAAAAAAAAAAAAAAAAAAAAAAAAAAAAAAAAAAAAAAAAAAAAAAAAAAAAAAAAAAAAAAAAAAAAAAAAGTAGAACAAATGAACCAGAGGTCCAGTGAAACTGTGACAGAACTGTGGGCACCTCTGACACTCATTCTAGAGTCTGATAGTAAACATCATTCAAATGTACACAGGACATGGGAAAACATGGGGTAGGCATTTTTTAGAAAGAAATTATTGGTGAATTAAAAAAAAATGTACAAGGAGTCAAAAACCTTTCATCAAATCGATGTTGGAAAAATTGTGAGGATTTTAACTTTTGGAATATTAACTACATTTCTATACAATGTGTGAAAATGTGATAGATTTCCTAGAATCTGGTTTTTCATTTTTATTTTGCTTTAGCAGTTTATAAATAGTTTACATATTTTTAATAATTGTAAAGCGCTTAGAGCTGTAAGGTAAGCGCTATACAAAAAATGCCTAAATAATAATAATAATATTTAATATGTAAAAATGTAAATGGCAGCTGCTTTTTTTTAAATATTCCATAGAAATACTTAGCTCATTCCATGGCCATGGTTCAGGCAAATCTTAAATAGAGTCATCATCTAGTATTTTAATATGCTCATTCCCAGAATTTAAAAAATCAAATTAGTGTAATTTTTTCCTCTTTTAGAATACTTTAAATATTTCAACAGCGAAATATCAGTACAAAATTAATAAAGCCCACATGGAAACTAGTGCAGACTGAAGTTTAGAAAATGTGTATTTGGTCCTGGTAAAAAAAATTAATATCAAAATCTATTAGTTTCAGGCCATATTCTAAGATAAGTTCTGTCAGCTAGGGATTCAGATAGTGTGAACATGTTAGGAAGTAGAGCTTTATGCTTACTTATGTTAATTTAGCAGCTGACAAACAAAATTTCCCATGACCTTATGAAAATTAGTTCAAAGCTGTGCACAACTTGTATTTGGGCACATGGTTAGACTTTGACAGTGATCATTCCATTTTTCAGATCAGGGTTTCCCAACCTTTTCGGAACCGCCCATGAACTGTTTGATCAAGTCTTGAAAACCTTACGAAATTAACAATGCACTTTAAATTGGAAGGGAAAAAAAAATACTTTTTTAAATTGAATTACAAAGAGATCTGTACTTAAAAATAAACTTGAGATTTATTTGTTTAGCATGGATATTGACTTGTAATTGTTTTGCATCGAAAAATTAATATACTATCTTATAAGTCCATGTTTCTGTGTTCTTAAATACTTTCCCTCACAGCCCTTGACCTGCTAGCTCTATGAGAAACCCTGCTCTGGGTAGTTAAAAAGTCACAGTGTTGTAGTGTATCACATCTGTCCTAGAGAAACTATCAGACTGTGAGGATACTTCATTCCTGTTCTGACATAAATCTGTTGAATTGTGCTAGGCGTGCATCATTCATATTATTTTTTTTCCACACAGTTCAACTGTCACATTGTGACAGCCTGTCCTCTGTTTAAACAAAAAACAAACAGTAAACTGAATAAAACTGTTTCTCAACATAATACAAGCAAACCAAAACAATGCAAGGTACCTCTTCTGTGGTCTCCACCTTCATCTCCTGAGGCCAGCATGACAGATACAATTAGGGAACATGAGAGATACAAGTAGGACACATGAGAAATACAAGTAGGGAACAATTAATGTTTTTGCTGGTTTTTTAAAGGATTTAACCAAATATAACATCTTTTTAAAAAGTACATCTAAGTGCCTAAAATTTGAACCTCTACAGTCTTGATTGTAATCAAAATGTTTTGTACATTCACGACTGCAGAATATAACCTTATAAAACAGGAAAAAAGAGATTGAAAAAGGTGGACAAATTAATTTTAAAATCCTTTTTTTGATTTTTTGAATTTAAAAAAAAAAAAAAAAAGAGACAGATGGCTTCTTCTACCATAATAAAAATCTTACAAGAAGTTATGACTGGAGAGCTTTGATCAAATAGATATGTCCCTGTTTCTTCAGTCATCAAGATCTCAATTCTACTTTAAGTAAAGCCTTTATTTTAAGCTCCATTGGAAAAAGTCATGAACTGTAACAACTTTAACCAACTTTTGGAAAGAGAGCAAATGTTATCCCCTCTCTTTACCATCACAAACATCAATTATATCCTTAGATTGAAATATTTTCTGTCTCGGGTTAATCCTGTAATATAGGCCAAAAAGTGCCAAAGTGTCCTTGTTTTATGGCCATTTTAATTGTTTCTATAGTATAGTAGTTACTATCCTAATGTCTCATTTTTATTTTAGTTAGTTTACATGTTTTTAATAAATGTAAAGCGCTTAGAGCTTTAAGGTAAGCGCTATATAAAAATGCCTAAATAAATAAATAAATATGACTCAAATTGTTGTGACATTGCATGATGTGTAATAATTAAGTCCCATGATATGGAATAAATAAGGAATAAGTATGGAATCATTTTATGTTGTGTTGATACAAACTTCAGGCCCACTATACGAACATTGGAAAATCAAGGTATTTGTAAAGTATCGGCCCCATAAACAGCATGCAATCAAAATACACACCCCACCAGGTAATCAGCCTTATTAAAACAACGGGGTAGCTATATCACTTGTAACTGCTGAAAGAATCAGGTAATGCCATATCTTTTCCTCAGCAAGTTAAGTCAATGTGACACACCACGTAAAGATATTTGTTTCAGAGCATTTTCTTTCCAAAAAAATATTTTAAAAAATAAACAGCCGATGAGCTCACCTCTTTGCCATACTCCACAGGTAAACTTGATTGTGGTCTTTGATCTGAAGAAATAGGTAAATAAAATTTGAGATCTGAATTCAGTGCATAATAAACAACCTTTCTAAATAGTCTTAGCTCTTGTACAACGATTTGTATACTCTGAGGTAACCCAGGCATTATTTAACATTATTTCTACTGTGTCAGGTGGCAGTGATACAATACACCTGAATCAGACATGAAACCCCTTTCCTCCCCATAAGAAGATATTGCACATGGACATGACACCTCAGGCGATCGGAACCTTTTGGGCAACAATTCTAAGAAACTCCTTGCCTCCCAGCAGGCTATTAAAGAGAATACCTGGCTGATTTTGATAATATATGCAACCATTATATCAACCTGAATTTTTTAAAATAATAATGGTTTAAGTTTAAAGATACATGAAGAAATATTTTGTAAAACCTTGCAGGACATTGACTTATAATTAAATGCAACATTACATTTAGCATCTCCGTTTGATGGCCTGCTCTGTCCCGACGCTCCCTTTTCACCATTTTGTGGTGAGCCATGATGATCTTCCTGAGGTAATATAAAGAAAAATGTAAACAAAAATAATTTAAAAAATCAATGATAATTCTGCTTAATAGCTTTAACTATAAAAAAAACTAATTTGTTAAAAAAAAGGGGGGGTAAGATATTGCTATGTAATAGATTGCCACATTATGTATTTGAAATTAAAAAAATGGATGGGTTTTAACAGTTAAAGATTGGGGACCAAAGAAGGAAAAAAAATGAATAGAAATTTTTTAAAATGTAGAAAAATCTGTTATGTCAAACAAACATCAACAATCTCTATTTAAGAAGTGTTCTTCCAATGTTAAGTAATAAATTTTGGATAGCAAGGAGTGTTTTTATTGAATTTTTTCTTGAAATTGGCTCAACATGAACTAATTCAAAATTGTAAATAGCAAAACTGAGATTTATTTCAGGTTCAAAACTGGATGAATCAGGATCAATGCATCACTAGTTCCACTATTCATTCAAATTTAGCAAATGATTGAATTTTGCACATAACACTTCAACATTTAAAATCATTCCACGCTCAAAAAAGAAAAGAAATAAATAAGAATAGAATCAAGTAAAAAACTTAAAGAAAAAGCCTAAATTTACAAACGCATGCTTATCATATTTCAATTCAGTTCTGAATAGAATTCAGAAGTTTTCTTTCTTTTTTTTTAAACTTTTCATGGAGCTCTCATGATGGTCCTTTGGAAAAATTATTATAAGTGACCAAAATGGAAAATTGATACAAGCGAACTGAATTAATTTTTTGGCACACACAATTTAAAATATATTAAATTTCTGCTTCGTGGGTGGCGTCTTCATTACTAAAAATTCATCTGAGATAAGATAATTTTATTTCCTTCCATACTTAAGTAGTTATCTGACCTCAATAGTCCCACATAATTTCTTGTAAAGTTTATGACATCGTTTGTGTACTGTCACTCTGCAGTTGATGCATTTGAATCCCTGACGACCAAGACCCCAAATTCGATCAGAGCAGTATGCACATGCAGCTTTCTGAAAAACATCTGTGCTGTTAAATCTCTATACAAATGGACTGCTGTAGAGATAATGCTTAGAGAAAGAGGGAACTGCACTTTAAAAAAAATTTTTTTTTTTTTTTAAAAGTTAAAATTAATGGGAGATAACTTAGTATTGAAAAAGGGGAGGTCAATGAGTGAAATATTTTTATAAAATCATTTCTGATCCTCAAATTTGAAAAACCAACCAACTTACCAACATACTTCTGTGATTAATTACTCAGTTACAAATTCAGTAACATTTATAACTTAATTAAATTTTTTATTAAAATCAAATTTTTCTACAGAAGAAAATCAAATGGCCATGCTGAAACTACATAATAACAGAAATCTTCATGCCATTCTTATCCATCACCCTATTAAATACTACCTATCATTGGAAACTCGTTGGTTGTGTATAACCAACTCAAGCTAATTCTACTTATCTAGAAGGGAGATCAAACTCCCTAAATAAATGAAACACTAGGACCGGCAACCCCCAATCATGACTGAAAACCATAAGCATGACAACCCTTGACCATTTAAATTTACACATGATTTTTATACACATGATTTTTATATAGCACTTGATAGAGTCTATTGTACAATATCTGGTTTTCCGTGTTTGTTAAGTTACCAGGATATTGCTACACCGTTAAATTTGGATGCATTTATTAATATAAAGTTTTTATAATTACCAGTATTTAATTGGTATACAGACCTGTTTACTTTTACAATTTTGGTCTACAATGTACGATTTTGAGGCGCATACATTATATATACTGTATGTTAATTTTTATAAATATAAGGTATTGAACGATTTTGTGATGATATTGTAAGATTTTAAGAGTAAACAGGTCTGCTTATAGAGAAATAAATTTTTTTTAAAAACCAGTTCCGATGAAAATATGAGATAGAGTACCTGGTAAGACAGTTGACAAGAATAAGTTAAACTTACTTGTACTTCTATTAAAGGTCCTTTTTGAAAAAGGTTGCCCAACCCTAGTGTACTTACAAAGCAATACCAATCAAATTGACTACACACACCAAGCAAATTAAACCAGGTAAAAATAAACAACATCCATTCTGTATAAAGTACCTATAAACATTTAATACTGAAAAGCCATTTGCCTTTGGCAAAAAATCATTGCTTTATTTTTTTACAGCTTGAAAGCACTATTTGTGCTGTTTGCAAAAGGATGATCATTTTTTTTATAAGGCAGTTTGATGAAGCTCAATTTACCTAACAATCATGATATTACAATATGTAGAGCTTTTTCATTTAAAAAATCAATCACAATGTGCATGTTTAAGCAACTTCTTTTCCTGCATAGTTAAACCAACACTGAACATTTACAAATCTGTTACAGGAATTTACTCTTAGATCATTCTATTTCAAGCTATGACAAAATGTAAGAATGAATTACAATTTTTAATTGGAATGAATCTACAGTAATTTGTTCCATAAATCTTTCTAATGCTTACCCTGGAAAATCTTTTGGCTTGAAACAAATGACCATTAACTCTATACAATTTTCTCCACCTCCTGGCACCTCTCCGATACATGTTCCCTGAAAATTAAACAATTAATTTATTAACATCTGTAATATTCTGGTCAAATAGCTGAAAGACCCTAATATGATAATAAAGATAATTTATGCACCAGTACATGATAGTACATGTCTTTTCTTTCCAATCTAAAGTAGCATATAATATATTCTTTCAATATATTTTTTAATGTTTAGCAGGAGCAGGGTCTGGAAGTATTTTTAACTATTTCAAGTGTATTAACTAAAATTAATGCCTCCAATAAATAAGACTATTAATTTTACTTTTGATGTGGCTACATTGATTCTTCATCACTCAGTAATGTACCAGTACCAGTAGTAATATTTCATTTTATTTCATTTTTTTTTTAAAAATGTTTATCACTGATAAGATTTACTTGTTTGTTGCTGCATTTTTTAAATATATTTATCTGTATTCTTTATTTTTATTTAGAACTGTTTAGTTTCCAAGAGGAAAAATTAAAGGCATTAAAAAAAGGCAGCGAGATGTTCATGTACCACTATGTCACAAAACGTTTGGATATATGTAAAATGACTTACTGTCCTCTCCAGCACAAGGCAACCCTGGCCTTGCTGGGACATTAGGGAACACTGAAATTTCAAGGACATAGTGTTAGAATCATGTCTTTAAAAAAATATTTAAAAAAAACAAGAAACTATTATTTTTTCTAATGAATAATGAAACTTTAACAATGTTTTATTCAAGTTACAGTTATAACAGAACATGGTTTAAATTTTTTTTTAAACAGTTGATCACAAAACAACACAAAACCATTTGATTATACTTAAAGCCATCTACCTTTCTTAATAAAATTGACAACACGTTTGTCCACTTCTCATCTCAAAATCACCACACAAAAAACAACAAAAAAGGAATAAGTGAAATACCATGTATATTTAATTCTGTATCCTTGTTGACTTCATAGAGACGTATTGCTTCATTCAGTTCAATTTGGGAAGATATTGTGCAAGGGTCACCTGGATTTAAAATTTTTTAAATTAATTAATTAGTTAGCCATCTTTTTCACATTAACAAAATATAAAAATCTGTTTTATATCAGGCGCTGTACTGCTAATTGTTTAGCAAAAAAAGTAACATTTTATGCACACAAAAAATCAAATTTGAGTAAATTTTATTTTAAGTATTTTCATCTACACTAGGCTGGGTATGTACTGGTACATATAATTATTATTAGTATTGGTGGTTTTCAATAGGTTTTTAATATCAATAACATGAGATCTAAATCTTTCTTTGATTAAATAAATGTATAATTTTTTTCATCACACATAGTACTTATTTATTTTCAACTAAGAAATAAATACCCTTACTAGACAAGCACTTTTAAAGTAGAACTATTGGCTTTTACTATAATTACCAATCTACATTGTATCACCTCTAACTTGGTTACCTTCTTCATCTAACCACTTGACAGTAAATGGCTGTACACTATCGAACTTGCAAATATCTTTGATTTCAGCACAAAAGTCAGAGTATTTTACATCATTTCGTATATTGGTCACCAAAATATTGCTGAAAAGTTATTTAAAGGATTGTAATTTTTTTAAAGATTGTATAATTCCGATACTTCAAAATGAATTAACCTTAGCAATACCGGTACGTATAAAATAGATAAAAATACCTGGCCTCAGTAACAAAATAACACAATTTTTTATTTTAAAAAATTAAACATGGACTTAGTTTGCTTGCAGTAGACTTGATTTAAGTAAGTTTTTATTGTGCTGGAGTTATAGAAATATTCAATGTAGGTAAAGATAATATGGGAGACATCTCAATTCCTCTAAATTTGTATATTATAGATATCTAAGTATAAAATAATTTACTATTGTGACTGTAGGATGCAAAAGATGTTCCCTTTCAATATATCTTATAGCATAATAATATGTTTTATAAACTTCAAAAGACCGACTTAGTAAGATTGCAAGATTATGCCCTAATGTATACAAAATTTGCTTTAAAAATAAATAAATCTATTCAAATTATGATACTGGTACTTACCCATTAAAACCCACTTTGATGCGCACAGAATTTTCAAGCTCCTCTGGATCAAGTGTTGGCATTTTATTTATCTGAGAAATGATAAAGCATGGCTCATTTATATGCAAGCTTTGTACACCATAAGATTAAAAGAATGTAGATTTATATGATCTGTGCTTTGCCATTACCATGGGGGTATGGATGCTATAGTCAGGACTTTAGGTAGAGCGCAAGTTCAACTTTTTATGAGGTTGTTTTTATGAGCTCCATGACTCAATTTTTTTTATAGATACCGGTAAATTACACAATTCATGTTGGGTAAAGTTATAGATTTTAGATTTTAATGATTTTTAAATTAAATTTGCATGCTTTTTTGTTGATTTTTTATATTTTTTCCATTTAAAATATGTTGAATGTTAAGGAGGCATGTTTTCGCACTACTTTTTTTTCACAAAGCCACTCTCTTCATTGCAAAGACGTGTCTGGAGTCATGGCAACAAGATGGCGACAGTGTGAAAAAAATTAGTGCAAAAACACAATAGAACGGGGGAAACATCAATAGCACAATCACCAAAACTACAATCCTAAAATCTGCAACCCTACCTAACCTGAATGCTAAGTTAGAATCCCTAACTCAAGCTTAAATCAACCCCCAAAAAGCGTAAATTTACCCCTTAATTTAGTCTCCCCTAACTAAGAGTATAAATCTTCAAAAATAAAATCTATGACCTAATGCCTAATGTTAACACATAAAACTATGTGCTTGTTTGTTACAGTTACTACTGTCCTGAGAAAATTGTAAATTTGAATAAAAAGATTTTAAAATTTCTTTAAATATCGGTATTCAAAATAATGAAAACCCAAAAGTTTCAATGAAGAAACTTTTAAACATTTTTTTTTATTGGAGGTTCCACCAAAAATAAAACTTTAAAAGATGTAAAAAAAAATCAAAACCCATTTTCCAAAATGAAGGGAAAATAGCCTATTTTTTAACGAAGTGATTATTCACAGAGCTGTGTGGATAACGCTCACTGTTATTCACAGATTTCGGTCTGCCGATAACGCTCGACATTATTCGCAGAATGTGATGAATTAAATTATGAATATAAAATACAAAGTTTGTGTATAAACATCGCCTCGGTAGTGTAGTGGTCAATATCTGCGCCCGTCACCCGGCAGGCATGGGTTCAATTCCCCGTCGGGGAAGCCTCATTTTTATAAATAAAATTTTAAAAAAATATATTTAATGGTTATTTCGTAGTGTTATATTATAATAATATTCTTCTTATTGCTTTCTTATTCTGTTCACATAGTTTTATTATTATTTTCATATAGTTTTGTTACTTATGTTACAAGTTTCAATCTATTTTGTTAGAATGTTCATTCAAGTTTCGTTAAAAAAATTTAAACAACATGGACATGCAGATGAGCCGCATAAACCATGTTTAAGTCATATACAGCTGTTCTAACTGTACATTGTGATATACTTTTAGCTCTTTTGACTGTTTAATTTTCTTTGTATAATTCCACTCATAGACTTTAACATCCATTTGTTTTTTCTCTAATAAACAAATAATTATTAATAACGTACTTATTCAAATATTTTAGATCTCAGAGTTGTGTATTAATGTTTAGCTGAAAAAATATGTCACATTTTATTTGTTTCATTTTATTTTCTAATAAGTATCATAATAAGTAGGGACACAATATGCCGCTCCAGAAATAGTTGAAATAACACTTAGTGATGACAATGAAATGAACATACTGCTACCGTACTTAAAACATATCAATATCATTGACATCAACAATTTTAGCTCTTGTAAAAAAAATGTTGATAATTGAAACAAAAAGCCATACTGCCACTGTTGTAACTATGGGTCTAAATACAAAAAAAAAAGCATACAAAAATTCATTGGAACCCTGCTGGTCGTAGGATGCATTGCAAGTCTTTGGGAAGTAAAGTTCCCTTGGGGCAATTGAAGCAGCGTTTACAAGTGTGAGTGTATGGCCAGCGCAATAACCAGCCAGCTTTACTTTTCCCAGCTAAGGCCAGAGCTGGGTAGACTTAGGGACACCCTCAAGGATCAGGAAAAAATACTAGCCTTAAACTTAAACAGGATTAGATTCTGTTATTATCGATGTAGGGCCTATATGCCCCTACCCGTCTCTCACACGGCCGCCTGATGCAGCCACCTCTCTGCATCATAACACTGTTGCACGGCATGTCAACTATTTCTGACAGAACATTTCTGGACTATGTGATATATCATAGTGCTTTAAAAAAAACTAAACGATATCCTATCAAGCTTTGACATCATTTAAAGATATCTCTACAGTGGGTGAAAGTGAGTCTACATGAAGAATACTGGTACCATTTTTATTACTGGTATAACATTTAATATGAAATACCAGAAAATTAGCTATGTCTAGGAGTAGGAGGTTTGACTGGATCTATTAGTAACACTCTATAGGTCGAATATGTTGGCCCCTAACAGAGCAGATGTAGGCACAATTAATTGTCCTATATCCAATATATAGGCTATAGTTAGGCCTATTAAATTTTTTAAATTTAACTTGTGCATACCGGTAGCTTCGGTTTTGAGATGTGTTTGTGCCATTCTCATTAACGATCGATCTCTCCTACACTACTTAAAACTACACCCCTACCCCGGCTTGAAATGTGATCTTAATTATTTCTCGAAATGTGCGTAATTATGGGAACATTTCTGTCCAACAATAACGCTCTGCATTTTTCGCAGATTTTGGTCTTATTTGCAGATCTCGGTCTGCCGATAACGCCAAACATTATTCACAGAGCTGTGTGGATAACGCTTCCCATTTTTTAAATATTATAATGTTATAATTAACCACCCAATGAAATATCAAGTTATAAAAAGCCATCAATCAAAACGAATTTAAAAAAAGGGGAGAGAATTCTACACAGAAACTCACAATGGTGCGCTCTGGGTCAATAGACCAAATCAAGATATTACCAATTGGGGAACAAAAATAGAGCATATGTTTGAGACAGAAGAATTCTCCTTTCATAACACTAACAATCATAATAAATGAATAATCACGATTTAAATCAGGCCTGCACAACATAATACCCGCCCGCCAGCACTCACTTTGCGGCCCTCTAAGTAACGAATTATTATTTTTTATTATTATTGTTTTCTTAATTATTAATAGCTTTCCCCCCATGTCTTATTTTCTTTTGATAGGCACTTTGATTAAAATTTCAAAACATTTTTAAAAATATAAAAATACTACAGCTGTATAGAGCCTGGAGAATAGATTACAAAAACTTTCAACTTTCTAGCTCAAGTGGTTCAAAAGTTATGAACTTTTTAGTAGGGACCTCAAAGGCACTTTTTTTACTATGGGATTTTCCTCCACATTTCGTGACCCTCATTTTGATTTTTTTTTAAGGCCTATAACTTTATTATAAAATGACACAAAAATATAATATTTACAGGGAACATATTTTAATTAGAGTACTTCTAAATAAAACCACAAAATATAAGTTAGTTTTTGTTAATATTCCGCAAAAATTATTTTAAAAATCTTTATTATTTTCCTATTAAAAATATATAAAATATGCTGACTCGTCACTTATTCGTAATTAATTAATTAATTATGTATAAATATTTTTTTTCAATTTCCCAAAATTCATAATAATAATAAAATATTCTTAAGATATTAATTTCAAATTTTCTGTGGAATTGTTTAAAATTTATAAGTATATACTAATAATAAAGGGATTATTTGTTTCAATAAGTTAAAATTGACAATTAAACTTTTTATTTTACCATTTTCTATATAATGTATTTTAGTCCCATACCATATGAATGTGTGAATATGACAAAAAATAGTATGTCATTTATTTTAAGTTAGTACAGTTGTTTCACAGATCAACATTTATTATTAGAATCAACTTTAGCTGTTGATAGAATTTTAAATAAGTTCTAGTTATTTGCTTGAGGTAATTACAATGTTTTATTATTAAATTTTAGTAATATCTCATGTAATTCTTGGATTTTTGTGGTAGAAAGTGTGTTTTTTTCTTTGAGAATACTGATAATTCTCTTTTGGAATAGTGTGATATGTGATTAAATATAATATAGGATATTTCAATACCAAAGGTAAGTGAATATTTTTTGTACACTTTTACTTAATTTATGCCTTAAGAATCACCATATATATCATTACATATGAATAATGGGTCCTACAAAAAACTATTTGGTGGGGAGGGGGGAGGTGGATAGGCCTACACTTATAATAGTAATACTATTCTAGGCCTCTATATATACATACACACATATATATAATTATATATGTATATATATTATATGTATATATATAGTTAATAGTATACATATAACAACAGTATATAAAACTAATAGTTAACTATTAATTGTAATTAATTAGGCTTTTTTAACCTAATATCCCTCAATAAAAGCATCAAATCATATTAAAAATATGTGTTTGTTTTATTAATTATTTTATTTTTATTTCTAAATAAGTTATTAGGGGGTAATAGTCTGGATTTCCAGAGTAAATCAGGTTATTTACCATAGCAACGAATATTAACGATAATAGGTAATTTTGGGACACACGTGACTAAAATTTCCCATGAAATTTCTGACCAAACTGATGGTCCTAAATTAACAGGTCTTGGATATGTTGTAGTTAATGCCATTATTTATAAAGTCCTTGAAATTCTATGAAAGGTTCTTTTCCACAAAAAAAATATGAATGAGTAAAAATTGCGTTATTTTACCTTCAATTTTCAAAGTGAAGCCCCAAAATTTTTTGGGGGACTCAATTGTCTAATCATAACACAACATGACAACATGTCTACTCTAAGTTGTGGGCGGAAATAGAATTAACATGCTGGGCTATATATAGTTAAAAAGTCGTAAACAACGTGACTCTCGGTAAATTAAAAAGTGGAGGTCGCCATTTTGACAACGAAATCACGATACCCGGTTTTCTGCACTTCTCGGATCTTACCGAAATACCTACTTTTGACCAGCACAAGTTTTCATAAAATATTACGACTCACCTTACATTTTGAGTTGTGCAGGCCCGATTTAAATGATAATAAAATAACAATGAATCATGAATCATAAATATTAAAACATATTATCGTAATCGTAGACATAGTCGTAAGAACTTTTAAGAAGATGCATGAAAAGTACTTTTTTTTTAAAATCTCAAACAATTTGTTAATTGGCTTGATTGTTGTTTTTGCAAAAAAAGGCAACATTTTACTTTTAAAATCCTTTTAATAATGAAATAAGACTTAATAAGTTGATTATTATTTTTTTTAAATGTAAAGTCAACTATGCGCACTGACCACTCAGACCACTGACTGCTAAACTAAACTAAACTCATAAACTCTAAACTTTATAATGACGGATAATGATAATGCTTTTCCATTTGTATAAATAGTATTAAATTTATTGCACTAAATGATGAGATGAAAAAATATATTTATTTGTCAAATATTTTGCAAAGTGATAGAATAATATTAACTTACAAATTACCCAGAAATTGTTAAGTAATTAAAGTAAAACTTTGTTTGCATTCCTAGCTTAGATAAATGAAGATCAGGAAACGGTAGTTAGTACCGGAAATGATGCCATTACATTATTTAAAACACTCGCTTTATTAATGTCTAATTCTCTAAGTGAAACTTTTTTTTTTTTCTCATTTAAAAACAAATAGCAAAGGCGTATGTAGACTTGCAGTCAAAATCGTAACGGAACTAACTTCTGAAATTATTTGCTCTCAACTTATAAGTGGCTTAAACATAACTTTAAATAAAGTCCAGAGCTTGCTTACTAAACTTCGCTCATGAACATTGAAACTTGGACTTGTCTCTAAATTACATCAAACGAATATAAATATTAATCAAACTAGGCGCATCTATACAAAGATGCTTGAAAACACACTCCGCTACACCAGTCCGAAATTCACATATCAATTAGGTTGCAACTTTACTTAAGGTATATAGCGTCATAAACCGATAATAAAAGAAAGGGGGGGGTGTAAACAAAGAAACAAAGAAATAATTACATGCCATGCACAGGGAGGTTATGAACATAATGTATGTTGCTCATGTAGGTGTTGCTTACAAATTAACACATCCCACATCAAAAGCGACCATACAATACAACCATAACATATCAAAAGAATATCTAAGTATTTAGTTTGCATGTGCTTCTCATTTCCTTACGAGCCCTGTGGAATGGGGATTTGAGAGGCATTGTTATTGTTAAATCTGCTTGTCTATCATTTTAATTAAGTGAATAGTTTTTATGTACAATTTTTGTAATGTCTCCCCGAATGAATCTTATATATTACATTACCCTTTCAATATCCCCTGCCCTTCATAACCGCGTCTCCCCTGAGGCACAATACAACCACCTCTGGAAAAGTGTGCAGAAATTTAACACTATCTGGAAAGGAATTGAATGTGATCGATTTCACCCCCGTCCCTTTTTTTTACCGGTTAAACAATGACATTATTGGGGACGAGCACATAATATATAGAAAATATGACTCACTTCTACCTTTTATAACGTTAAATAACATTTCCATTGGCAAAACTGCTACCCCCACCCCCAATATTAGTCTATATACAATTTCTAGTAACCACCCCACACCCGGGGGGAAAAAAAAAACTACGAATAAAATCCAAAAAAAAAAGCAAATCTAAAACAATAACTCAGAAGTATTTTTTTCACATAAATAAGTTATTTATTGTAAGCTATTATACATTTTCATTTATATGAATCTAGGCTAATTTAATTAAATTGAAAAGTTATTTTTTTTTTCAAAAGATAAGACTTAATTTACATTTTTCTCTAACACGCCCACTACATATGACGCAATATGACAAATAATAAACCACCTTAACCCCACTGGCATTATCTATTATTTGCTCTTAAAGCCATGACAGTGATGAAACGACGCACTCTTTACCAGCCAAGACATACAGTGGTGTGAAGCCTTGATCCGATGAAAAAAAGGACAAAAAACGCACACAGATATTATATCCAAGCTAACTTGTTAAAAGATCTGACTTCAGTTAGATTGATCATTCATTATTTTTCTTTTATAACATGTAGCCTGACTTCATAAAAGATAAAACATTTTATTTTCACGTAGCCTACATTTACAAATATAAAAATGAATCTGAATGGATAGCCTAAGCAATGTAAGCCATTATTGACTGTACTTTTAAAAAAAACACAAACACACAACACAAAAAAAAACAATTTTGTCTAAGAAATGAATTGATTACCGTCATTATTGATTATTATTTATAGTGAGTTATGTTCATGCTGAGGAAGAAGAACGCCACCCCCAGCGCCATCTTCAAAGTAAATTAAAATCTTCTTTTCATTCGAATGAGAAATAGCAAGACCAGATACTTTCATGTGGTTATGTCTCAATCACTAAACACTGGGGCGAAAATTTTGTACATTAAATGTGAGCCTCAACTTCAAATATATGTATATATTTTATCTGGCATCCGCCCGTCACAATGTGACGATGGTGTAGACTTCGCAGGATGAACTCACAAGGCCTAGGATTTTTTCTTTATAGTAATAAGGGGGGGGGGGGAGATTTCAATCAGGTTAGATACTTCAAATATATGTATATATTTTATCTGGCATCCGCCCGTCACAATGTGACGATGGTGTAGACTTCGCAGGATGAACTCACAAGGCCTAGGATTTTTTCTTTATAGTAATAAGGGGGGGGGGGAGATTTCAATCAGGTTAGAAAAAATGGAAATGTGTGAAACAAAGTATGGGAAACCTGGGGGGAAAAAAGAACGCAACAAAACTATTAACGTGTCGGCAAGAAGCCTTCGTCAATGAATAAACAACAGTAAAAACAGAATTCGGTAACAATAACACTTAGCTAAAATGTAGTATCTGAGAGGACAGCAAGAGGAATATGACAGAAGACAAGTAGGTAAGATTTTAAATATATACAAAAGGGGAAAGAATGGAGGAAAGTAATTCCACTGCGATTGGTCGCAAAGAGGAGGGGGGAGCAAGGTTTAACAGGTCAGTGAGAGTATGACGTTCATGCCGTGTGGTGCCAAGGTACAATAAGTCTGGATCAGCTTGTTTTCCAAATGCTTTCAATTTGAACTCCATCTGAGCTGAAATTTGTTTACACTTACCCACTTTAACTCATGTGGGACTTTGGCATGCCTCACTAGTGTTGTTCTTCCGTCAAAATCGACAAGGACCATCGAGTCATCCGGTCAGGGGGAGGGTGGGTTACGGTGAGCTCGTCGGTGGCTTGCCTCACTACTTCCGTCCACTCAGGCCTACCTGATGCTTTTCATATCCATGCTTGGATTCCCAGCTGCTGAGGGCTGAGGATCCCTCTCCAAATCATCCATCCACCTAAGCAGGGCCGGCTCAAGGCGGGTACGATGCGTGATCATCAAACAGGCGCCAAAATTCGTTAAAATAAAAAACAACTTTTTTTTTAAAATTCTGAACTCTTCCCATAATTTCCCAGAGGGGGACAATTGCCTATTTTCACCCAAACTAAAAATGTGTAGCGTCGGCCCTGCATCTCAGCCTGTGTCTGCCTTTGAGCTGCTTTCCTCTGGGGCTCTGCTGGTGGACCCTCTTCATTCCTCTATAATTATAGCATTCTTTTTAAGTTTCTTGATCATTTTTTTTTTTACAATTTCTGCCATTGGCGTGGGATTCTGATAAAGACTATAAAATTTTTGGTTGGTTCGTTGTCTCAATCTATGTTCGTCGTTGCTCCATATATTTTTTGGAGAACTTTTCTCTCCCATGTGTTAAATAGATTTTCTGCCGTTTTTGTTAGGATCCAAGTTACACTTGCGTGATGTGTTACAACTGGTCTGATTGCAGTTTTATAAATAGCTTTCTTTTATTTTCTTGTAATTTTTTTGCTGCGTCTAATCTGAAATTCCCTCGATTTTTTTATTCTCCCTGCTTTTTGAGTTGTTTAAAGTTACATGTATCAGCCTTGCCAGTTGGTTGGCTATGCCAAACTCCTGCAGAGTCTCATAGAGATATTTTCTTTTGACGCTGTCATTAGCCATTTTATATGCCACATAGAGTTGATTTACTGGGGATATTATGTTCGTAACATTTCTCGAATAGGCATCTGATGGTGAAAATCGTATCATAAATCAATAAATCATGGAAGATTGCATAAATTACTAAACATGACCATGGGCGCCCGCAGAAAACTTTCTAGGGGGGGGGGCAAAAAAATCGATTAACTTTCCAGGGGGGGGGGGCAAAATTTTTTTAGAAATGTTTTAATTTAGTTTTAATTTACTGTAGTGTATTTGTATGGTGAACGAACGGACAGGACATCAGCTTAGTTACTTTCTCTTTATTTTCTCTTTACTTTAATAAATTTTTTGTCTATTTTTGTCTAAAAATTTTTTATCAAACCAATCCAAGGAGGGGGGGGGGGCAAGCGCTAAAATGACCTAAATCGAACATTAAAAATCCCCTCATTGAAAAATGTAACACTACACTTTTAGAAAGCAATCAGCACACATGCGCACAGCGAATCTCACACTGACAGAAATAAACACTGGGCAACACTGAGAGCTTTTCAAATCTACACAAAACATTGCAACACCATTATAGCCACTTAACACCATTAAACGGTTTACCCGTACTTTGTACAAGTTTTAAACTTTTTTTTCGAGTTGCACGGCCTTAAAGGATTCTGTAGGGTTTGTCGCGGAGAAAATCATAACTGTCAGTAAGTGCAATAAATTCAGTGTTGGTCATCAGGAAGCTCAAATCCTATTTAGATGGGAAAAAGAAACAATTAAAATAAAAAAAGAACACTAATCACTAAAACAAACAAGTGCAGACGCAATTAGAGGCACGCGGAGGTTATACGCATGTTTCGTGTATCTAATGTAGGTGTTGCCTGGAAATTATTATTATCTCCTTAAGATCACTCTGATGTTGGGCTAACAGCATGCCGGCAAAATCGACCAAAAAATCTCATTAGGATTATATAAGTTTTAGTTTGCTTGTGCTTCGCATTTCCTTTAAATTAGGAGCCCTACCGAATGAAGATTTAAGAGGCATTATTAAATTTGCTTGTCTATCATTGTTTTAGTAAGTAAAAAGGTTTGATGTAGATTTACACGCATATGCAATATTTTTAAATGACTCGCAGGATGTATAAGCATAAATACCCTTTCGATACCTCTTGCTCTTTATCCCCCCTTACCCTGATTCCAACGACATACAATCGGGAAAAGGTGTACACCAGACACCTAACACGCTATAAGGAAAGAATGTAATCGATTTTTGCCTTCTTCGTCGATCAAAATAAGCCACGGCACCCTTGTATTAATTTTTTAACACATTTTCAGGCTTCGTCCTAGGCGCAGCATTTCCTTGACACGGTTATGATAACAATATGCGTAGGTATTATTTCATCGTACACAACAGCTTTTAGTTTTGCTATGAATATGTGAAGTGTGTGCTTTTTCAAGTTTGTTAATTTGCTTCCCCGGGAAGCGATGTTTTATTTGCAAATAATTTGTTTACTTGTTTATTTCTATTTCTACTCATTAATAATTTATGTTTCTACTATAATGGAATCTAATTTAAGAACAGTAATAATAAAAAAATTAATTAAAAATGTATTTTAAAAATATTTTTAATAGCCTGCAGAATTTAAACTAGTCTAATTTAGTTTAAATGGGGATACTCCAAAAATGTGTAGCTATCCGCTTCCTGTACAGGTGCCCGTATGCTGAAGCCATTTTTGATATGTTACTGTTGAACACTTCCTGGAACGGAATTGTGTAGTCAGCGACGGCAAAATGGTGAGATTAGCTTTTATTGTATTTCAAAGGAATAAAGAATAGTCTTAACTTGTGAATTAACTTCAGATGTTCAACTATTTTTGAAAAATTTTAATGTGATAGTCATAATATGTATTGCGTAAAGTGTTTATTATGACTCATTTATTATTATTTTCGACCAACGCCGGTCCATCAAGCAATCAGCAGTGCAACCAAAAAAGTGGGCGGGGACAAATCGAAGTATTTTCTGTCCATTTGTGTAACAATATTTGTATTGATTGATTTCATTTAAACAGATTATAGCCTAGCTATCGTTTTCTCCACTATACCTCTTGGTTTGCATCAACATTAAAAATTCTAAATCAACTTAAACCAAACAATAAACAAGGATAAAAATGAAAATCAAAGTTTAAGCCTAGCTAGGCTCTGCTAGGACTGGGACAGAGGTACTGGATTCCTGGCTATATTCACTATTGATACTCTAAATTGCAGCATACAGCATAGTATTGAAGTCTCATAAGGTCACCATGGGATTGTCCCAGGCGTTGGGATAGCCCTCTGCCTCTGATCTGAACATATATATGAATATGTCCAAAACCAAAATCTGGCCCTCTCTGCCCTCTGTCCATGCCATAAACGTTAAGTACCCCTGCCCTAACCTATAAAAATATATATCAAATGTGCATTTAACTTTAATTAATCTAATATCATGATGAATGTTAACTTTGTTAAGTGATAAAATGTGAATGATGTCAGATTGAATTGATTATCTGTTTGTTAGGCTAAGTGTGTCGATACTCGTCCGCGCACCATTATGCATATTTCAAAAAATGAAGCAAAAACTTTTGTGGCAATTTAACATTTAGCTCTGCGCTGAACTAGTTTTTGTATCTTTTACGTCACATTTTTCTAATAATAAATTTATTTTGTCATGTATTACATATAATATAATATTTGCTTGCCCAAGTCGCTCATACAATTTACACGCCATGAGGTAAGCCACCATTCTCTTGCTTTGTCACTTTGACCATACAGTACCAATTAGCTAAACACATCTTAAGTACCAGTACTCTTGATAATTTTCCATAAGTATAAGATCATTTTATTTATGGTTTACTTTATAATAAAAAATAAATTATATAAATTATTAGAAATAATAAAAACAATTAAAATTGATATTAATATTTTGAAGCTTAAGTCTTAGGCCATTAATTGTAATAATACTATAATTATGTATACGCTATAGTTACTCACTTTATCTACACTTTTAAAATCCTCATTTAAGTAGGGCTGAAGTATTTTCTAATTTAATACGCTATTTCATCATAAAATTTAATTCATTATTTCAGTTAAAATATTGTAAATCTTACATGATATGTTTCTTTACTTTTAGTGTTAGACTACTTAAACTTAAAGAGTCTAGTGCTGTTATATAGGCTATATTACTTATTAAAATAATTAAATTTTTAGAAACATTAATTTTATGTATTAATAAAAATAATTGTAAACTTAGTGACATAATATTCTAAGACTAAGATTTGTTTAAAATTAGATAAATTTTTTCCCTTGTCATATTGGAGATTTTCACATATTTTGGGGTATATAGGTATTTGTATATGTTGTTAAAATTACATAGGTTTACAAGTATAGAAAGTGTTTAAGAGCATAGGAAGTATTTATAAGAGTGTAGGAAAGGTTTATAAAACTTTAATATATATATATATATATATATATATATATATATATATATATAATAAATTAAATTAATATAAGATCACCACGTATGGGATTTTGTCTATCACTTAAAATTACATAGGTTTACAAGTATAGAAAGTGTTTAAGAGCATAGGAAGTATTTATAAGAGTGTAGGAAAGGTTTATAAAACTTTAATATATATATATATATATATATATAATAAATTAAATTAATATAAGATCACCACGTATGGGATTTTGTCTATCACAGTTCTACCTGGAAACTAACCCCAGCAATAGAGGAGAGACCACTGTATATATAAAGCTTATACATTTCTTATTACATAACATCAAATAAATATATAAGATTCAAAATCATCATAATAATTATAGTTTTATCATAACATACACATATTTAACACTCCCATTTAAATCTTAAAAAGAAATAATTTTAAATAAATGCAAAACTTGAATAATACTAATAAGAAACTATAAATTGTATAGATTCAGGATTATTACCAATGTTTTTTGTAGGCTTCTTTTAGGTACCACAGAAATTCTAATTTTCTATTGCAGAAATCAGAATTCTTTCCATTGCAATGAGGCACCTTTGGCAGTAGAATGCAAACACAAAGTTTATGGAAAAAAAAATTGTGATATTCATCAAACTAAACAAGAAGTCTTTAGAGCATTCTACCCAGAAAATGACTGGCAGAAGATCCTCATTACCTTTTAATCACATACCGGTACCGGTATGCTGGTATTAATTAGTCTTATGGGGGGTTTAAGTTGTTTTTATTTATAATTTTATGCTTTCATTCTTTTTGACAAAGGCATCTACTTACCTTATAAGCATTGATTTAGATTTAACTGACACAGATATCTTATTAACTCACGAACTGTCATATATCGGCCGTTACTAAAATTAATATTATGAACGCGAATTAGATTTTTTAATAATTTCTATTAACCCAAATAACTATATTTTCTAAACTGTAGGAATAATGTTTTATTTGTCTGAACAACTTTTTTAGATGATAAAAGGGACGCAGCACTCTGTGTGAGTTGAAGAAACATAAACAATTGCACAATTGTAGTCAGCGTTGAAAGGTTAAGGTCATATACACGTTACATAGCTCACAGAATTCAAACTTTCATACCATATGATTCCTTGTCCAATTTACTGTTAGAATATCTATACTTACTTGGGCTTTTGGATTCATTTTTAATTACTTTTGGTACACTCTGTAATAAAAACTCAGTCTACCTACACTCTGTAATAAAAAACCCTGTCTACGTATTTTATTGATACATTTCAAAGTTACTAAAAAAGAGTTGACACCGCATCATGTTTACATCATACATGTTTTTGTGTGATTTGTTTATGCTTTTATAAATTGAATTATTTTCACATTTTTATATTAAATTTTTAACTTAAAATCAAATAAAATAATAAAAAATAGAAAGTTTTGATGTTATGTTTTGTTATTCATTGCGCTGAATATTACATTGAGAATGTCTCTTACAATTTGGTACCATTATCTTTTGAAACAAAAAAAGTTGTTGGCAAATACAGGCAAAAAATATGAATAAAAGGCTTAAAAAATTAAAATAATATCTTATAAAATATAGAAAGATGAAATTGGTCTTTTTGGAAATCTTATTTCTAGTCCTTTAAAATGATGTATTTTGATGGCAGTAATAAAATATTTAAAATTTCTGTCAAAGTTTCTTAATAGGGGTACCCTACTATTAATAATTTATTTACTAAAGATGTATGCAAGGCCCAAGGTTCTGTTACTATTCTTATTGTATAATAATTGTTATAGACTTGTCAGTCTTGTTATTCTGTGTATGTATGAGTATGGCAGACCTATAAAAAAACATAGCCTACTAAAAATAGATAACCGTAAATATAAGACTATATTGAATAGGCCTGCACAACTCAAAATGTAAGGCGGGCCGTAATACTTTATGAAAAACTTGTGCGGGCAGAAAGATAATAGGACAGGGGGGAAAGCTATTAAGAAAATAAGAAGAAGAATATTTCGTTACTTCGTGGGCCGCAAAGTGGATGCTGTAGAAAATTATTAATGCACTAAATATAGGCAATAAATAGCTTAATTATATGGTATGACTAGTTTTCCCTAAAATTTTAAGATAAAATAAAAAAGTTAATTTTATTTTGATTATGTTATATTTTATTAGGCCTTTATTCCTAATTATGCTTAAAGTACGATTTTGGATACCGGTAATGACTTATTTCAATTTAATGCACAATTGTTTTGAATGGCATCGCAGAAGATGGCAGTCGTTTTGATTTCCACTTATGTGAACAGATGAAACACTGGATAAAAGAAAACCATTAACATGGTTCTTCAGTTTAAGCAATAGTGCTAAAATTGTGCAGATCAAGTCAACCAAAAGTTTCAAAATTTCGATTGTTCATTTAATGATTAGCCTTATGCTTCGTAATTTATTCTTTATCTTGAGGCTGAATGAATTTTTTGAGAAGACAAATATTGAAGGATCATTTTTAAGCTTGCATTTTTGTCTTTAGTCAAAGTAATTAATTTTTATATTGTTAAAAATGAATCATTCTGCAATAAAAACTTAAAACTGTTTTCTTATTTCTTACAGACAGAACAACAGCTTGACTGTGCTTTAGATTTGATGAGGCGCCTGCCTCCTCAACAAATAGAGAAAAATTTATGTGACCTAATTGACCTGGTAAGATATTTTTGAGGTCTGTTTGCTGTTGTCAAAATTGTGATTGCTTGAACTGAAAAATGTTAATTTTGAGAATTTAAATACTAATTTTCAAAACTAAACCTACTTATCTTATTTCTTAGGTTCCGCCACTTTGTGAAGACCTATTGTCATCAGTGGACCAACCATTAAAGATTGTTCGTGATAAGACTGTAGGAAAAGATTATTTGTTATGTGATTATAACAGAGATGGTGATTCATATAGGTACCTTATAAATTTTATTTTAAAAAAATGGAAGTCTAAAAAATGAGACAGGGGTATACACCATGTAGCTGACCTAACTAGTTAATATCTCAAAGGTCTTGATTATTTTAAGTATTTTAACAATACATTTTGTGTCCATACTTTTCTCAAAGATTTCTAGTGGTTTACATTTTTTTGGAGAATATATTTTTGAGTTGTAACTATTCTGCTTTTTTTAAAATAAAAAATATTCACTTAGATCTCCGTGGAGCAACAGTTATGATCCACCTCTTGACGATGGAACCATGCCCTCCGAATCATTGCGCAAGCTCGAGATAGAAGCCAACAATGCATTTGACCAATACAGAGAGATGTATTTTGAAGGGGGTGTGTCCTCTGTGTATTTATGGGACTTGAACCACGGCTTTGCCGGCGTCATCTTAATAAAAAAAGCTGGCGATGGTTCAAAGAAGATAAAAGGCTGCTGGGATTCCATCCATGTCATAGAGGTTCAGGTACGTATGATATTTATGGTCTTGCAACTTGTACGTATGAGATTTATTTATTTATTTATTTAGGCATTTTTATATAGCGCTTATCATAAAGCTCTAAGCGCTTTACAATTATTAAAACATGTAAACTAAGTAAATACAAATGAGACACTAGGATAGTAACTACTATTCTATAGAAACAATGAAAATGGCTATAAAACGAGGACACTTTGACACTTCAGGATCAACCCGAAACAGAAAATGAGGATTTAAGGTCTTGCAACTTGTACATATGAGATTTAAGGTCTTGCAACTTAATGCTTGATTAATAGAGGTTTAAATACTTAAGATATTTAAGGTCTTGCAACTTGTACATATGAGATTTAAGGTCTTGCAACTTGTACATATGAGATTTAAGGTCTTGCAACTTAATGAATGCTTGATTAACAGAGGTTTAGATACTTATGATATTTAAGGTCTTGCAACTTGTACATATGAAATTTAAGGTCTTGCAACTTGTACATATGAGATTTAAGGTCTTGCAACTTAATGAATGCTTGATTAATAGAGGTTTAGATACTTATGATATTTAAGGTCTTGCAACTTAATTTTAAGGTCTCGCAACTTAATTTTAAGGTCTCGCAACTCAATGCTTGATTATAAAGAACCAACAGTTTCGGAATAATTTTTGCAAGCCTAACTATAACATCTGTTATTAATATTTGTTCACATCGCTGATGTGTTGCTGTATTTCTCGCCACTTTTGCCAAGACTGCGGCAATGACGTTTAAATTGTTTTCCTTTAAAATTTGTATCTGAAGGTCGTTTTGACCTGAGAACTTGAATACAGCGTAGCCTTAACCTATTATTATCTCTTTTTTCCTCTCATGGCAGTTTTCTCTTATTTTTTCATTAGGTTGTGAACTAGTGTCATCTTGTTGTTCCTGATTAAATGTAATGGCTTTATAAATACTGCTTGGCTGTATCTTGCAGGGTTTTATTATGTCTTACCTATTTTGCTCTCCAAGTCCAGGGACATTCAATTAGTCATTTTGATTCTTTTCCAGGAAAAATCCAGTGGTAAGAATGCACACTACAAGCTTACATCTACTGTGATGCTGTGGCTTCAGACAAGCAAGGAAGGCTCGGGGACTATGAACCTTGGTGGAAGCTTGACAAGACAGGTACAGGGCCATTTTTATTACTGTTTTGTTCTCTGTTTGGGGGGCTATAATCAAATATAGGTGGTTACTTCACTCAGTCTGTGACATTTTTATGTTTGCATTAGTTGTTCTCATCCTTTATCGACCTCACTTAAGTTAGATTTTGGTACTAGATTTTATTGCTGTTTATTTAATTCACAGTTTTATTATTGGAGTCACACTGAAATATTCAGATTTTTATTATTGATTCATGTTTTTTTTTTAAATAAGTAATTTGATCCCAGTCACCAGTTTCATTTCATTCAAAAGTCAGGTAAAATTATAGCAGTCAATCCAACAATGATACTAAATGATAGCACTGATGATCAATGGATTTAAACCAAATATTGTATCACAAAGGTTGATGTCAACCAGCCACCATGAATGTTTTCTTCTATGAGACAACACAAAATTGACATTAACAAATTTTATTTCACTTGTTAGGTAGAGAGTGATGCATCTGTCAATGAAAATTCACCCCATATAGTCAACATTGGTAAAATGGTTGAGGTAAGTCAATTAAGTGTTATTAAGTTTAATTTGAATTAAAGATATTCATCTGTCATTTGGAGAAAGGAGTTAAAAAATTCTGATAATCTTCAGTTTTTTTACCTTCTACATTAGATAAACTTTTATTTTAAGAAAAAAGAATTTAACTCTCTGCAGTCTGATGTTTTTTTCAATTTTGTTAAAAATCTTAAAGTGATTTTTAAAATAATTATCTCATCTGAAATAGCTCTGATCTGATCAGTTATAATTATTAACTTGTTCATCTTTGACTAAGCTATAATTAGATATTTTTTGTATATTTTCTTTTCTTAGTTATAAAAATAATTAAAATATTATTGGAATTTTTTTTTTTTATTTATAGAAAAATTTTGACAAAATTTTCACACTGTATGAAGGGAAAAAAACTTCCTTGTTATAAAATAGTTAAAATTTATTTAAAGAAAATACTTCATCATCTAATACAACCCATAGTCAAAAATGCAAACATTCTATGAAAAATAAAAAAAAAGTTGTCAATATTTTAGCACATTCTGTATTTGTCATTTTTTCAAAAAAAATGAAGTATAATTTTTTTTTTAATAAAAATTATGGTATATTTTAAAACTCATAGATTTTATATTAAATATATTTCTTAATAATTCTTGAGTAAAAGATAACTAAGCAAAATTTGATTATTATATAAATAATTCAAAACAAGTCAATGTTTTCTTTTTTTAAATATGTGAACAAACCAATAATTCTGTAGCTTAAGTGTAAATAAAATAAAATTATTCAGTGCAATTCTGCTAATTTTGATATTATTTCCCAATACTCTCAATTCCTCACTAATCTGATCTTGCTTTTCCCATATATATTATTATATATCTTTGTTACAATGCTCAACTAACACAGGCCGATTATGTACAGTTTTCCTAAATTATAAATTATATTTATGGACACTGAACATTTTTGTTATAGTTATAATAATAATTAAATAAGAGCTTGTCTTGGACTTGATTTCCACATAAGAATAGGTAAAATTTTTCATCACAGAACATTCACTCAATAAAGAACCTGTGAAATAAAAATTTGATTGATTCATAAATAAATTTAACACTAATGGTATCAGTAATGGTATACTATCAATAAGGGCAAAAAATACCATTTATCCTTGTCCAAGTACCTAAATAAGTATAACAGTAAACCATTGTACATAGAAAATACATTATAACATAGGTTATAAAAATACATTATAACATAGGTTATAACAATATTGTGAGTTTATTATTTATGCATTTTGCTACCAAGTGATTAGATAAAAACTTACCACTTAGGGTAAAATCTACAAAGATATTCATCCTGTAACTCTATAATAGGTAAAAGGGTGGAGTCCAGACTTAATATTTAAGATGAATAAGGAATAAGGGCTTTCTGATCCAATAACTGCATTTTTGTATCTCTCTCTTCCTTCCCATTAGAGTCAATGAGCTTTTAATAAAACATAAATGTTTTGTTTGTCATTCTGTCTTGTTGTAGTCTTTACTAATACTAGTGATTAGCGATAATGATAATTAAATTTAAACACATTTCCACTGTGCAATAGTAGGAAATTTAGAAGATGATTCATATTTAAAAGAAATATATGTAGGTAATAACTCAGAAGTCCTTAACTTTATACATTTATTTTAATTACAAGCGTTGCCATCGGCTGTAGTTTTCGGCTATTTTTAGAAAATATTTATCACACATAGCCACACTGTTCATTTATTATAAAATTATTGAAACTCAATAAAATTTAAATAGAGTATATCAATATAAGTATAAATGAATAATATATACTTCAGCAAATTAAAATTCTAAAAATAACACTTTAATGTTTTATTATGAATTTTAAAGTCGGGAAATGATAGTTAAAATTAAGCTTACTTGTTTACGATAACATTAGTGGGTACTTTTATATGCAAATCGGGATAAATTCCATGATTAGAGTCTCCGTTTGGATACATTTCTTTAGAAAAACAAATAACGCCTTGATAAATCTTGAAATTAAAATCGTTTGACCTTATTAATACTAATATTTAATTTTTTGTAACAGTAATATTATTTTGATTTTTGAAAATCTGTGAAGCTTTTAAGGGATACTCTGCGCTGAATAAGTTTCCAAAAATAATTTTTTTAAATAGTAATTTCAAATTTTGTAATAATTTTTATTTTTTTACAAATACTTAAGCCAATGAAACAAATTATTAAAATATAATAAATCATTTTTTTTAAATAAAAATTTAAGTAAAAAAATAAATAACCCACCTACAAAACGTATGGTTTCTAATATGTACCATTTCTCTTTAGTCAGACTGCAGAAAGTTAATCATTCAATTTAATATTTAAAAAATAGAGAAACAGAAGAAATATACATTTTTCATGTTCATGTCTGCTAAAGGAAAAAATATGTTTTATATGAATAATGTTTGTTAAAGCTAAATAACATAATGATTTTATATTATAATAAAGCCTCACCATATTTATGAAATAACATTATTTGTATAATTTAATCTTTAAAGAAGTCTTTGTACCACATTCAGACTTATGCAATTTTTCAATTCAATTAATATCTCACATGTTGCAAATGCCAGAAGAGGGGACAGATTTTGGCAAATCTTTTTTGAATTTGGTTGATAAAAATAAAAATTCTTGGAAAAATACAAATGTGATGCAAATGGCTCAATTTTTATTAGAACTGACTATGATTTTAAAGACTCGCAACTTTTTAATAATGTAGAGGAGACCTACTTAGTACAAATTGGCACATATTATGGCTATATAAGTCTAATACTAATAGTGCAGATATGTAAATATCTTTCAGAGCCTCCAACTATTCCAATGTGTTTTTCCAATGCTGACTCTTCAATGTTATCCTCCGATTTCGAGGGCAACCCTTTCTTTATGCAAGTTTGCCATGCAGATAATTTGGTGTTTCTATCATTTTCGATGTGAGCAGAACATATATATGCACAAACGAGTTTCAAAATAATTAAATGTTTCGATTTAGGCCGAAAACCTTGTAATGCTCTTTGTTTCAGTTTTGCCAAAAGTCATTTTTAACTTCTGGTTTGGTTTTGCTTACGTCTGAAACCAGAAAATCTCATGAAGTCGGTCTCAATCGCACTTTATGCAAAACCCTGATCATCATTTTAAAGTTAATTTTAAAAACAAATAATACATCATTAGTCTGTCATTTTGTTCCTTATGAAAATGAACTATTTTTATACCCTGTTTTCATTATGAAAGTGAATTATTTTAAACCCATAACAGAAGTGAATTATTTTATATTTCAAAACCAGGAAATGGAAAACAAAATTCGCAGCACACTGAACAACATTTATTTTGGCAAAACCAAAGATATAGTCAACAGCCTTCGCTCCATTGAGCCTGTGCAAGACCCCAAGCAGCAAGCTGCCTTCAAGAAGGATTTATTCCAAGCCCTGTCACAGAGGACACAAGCACAGTGAGGGAGGGTACTGAGCTGGTGCAAAATACTTATTTTAAACAAAAATCTATTCTCAAGAGGGATGATTAATGAAAATAGACTGTCTACTCTTTTTTTTTTTTTTTTTTATATTGATAAATCAGTTTTATTTTAGTTAAATAATTTAACAAGACCCAACTTTTGAATGCAATCAGTGGCTAAAATCTTAAAGTTTAAACAAAAATCTATTCTCAAGAGGGATGATTAATGAAAATAGACTGTCTACTCTTTTTTTTTTTTTTTTTTATATTGATAAATCAGTTTTTTTTTAGCTAAATAATTTAACAAGACCCAACTTTAGAATGACATCAGTGGCTAAAATCTTAAAGAGTTCTGATTTTCTGATTGTGTAAATAAAGCAGTAAATTTATTTGTGGTAACCTTGGCAACCAGTGCACAATTTGGCAAAGGGAGAAATTTAAAAAAACTTTTCTTTTTCCACTCATCATTACTCGTTTATTTTATTAATAAATTAATGTATATGATTCGAATGTATATGTTCCTGATTCTTTCACGACCACCACCAAGGAGAAGGTTGGTCATTCAAGCGTTTTTGGCAAAAGTGGGGAGGGGGATTTAATTATGGAGTCTGAAAAATTAAGAGATTAACTTAACAAATCTTTTTTTTACTACCAATTTCTTTTTCTGTGTTACACTTAGAAGGAGAAGGAAGGGCAACACTCTTCTTCTCTGAAGATAAAAGATTAGATTGCTTGTTTATCTGCTAGGGAAGCATTTCTCATGCCTTTCAATAAGATTTTGTTTGCAATACGTTGCTCTGATCCTAGTGAGAAATGCAAGTTGTTACTCATAAATAGTGATCATCTCAAACATTGCTCATTTGATTTAGTCAGTTTACCGGAAGTGACATCACATTAGTGCATACTGGGAAAAATTCAGATTCAAGTTTCCAAATCCATTTGAAAATTTGTTCCACTGTAAATGGCTAAACTGAGATGAACTTGTGTATATTAAACAATTGTTGGTTTTTATTTCTATTGAGCTAGGACAATGCTGACATTTAACACTAATCAATTCCAGATTTCTATTGAACTAGGACAATGCTGACATTTAACACTAATCAATTCCAGATTTCTATTGAACCAGGACAATGTTGATATTTAACTCTAATCAATTCAAGATTATATATATTTTTTTGTTGTCTTTTCACCAGCCCAACTTTTACATTCTTGTAAGAATGCTGCTATCGAGTCACCTTCATTTCCACAGACCATAAAAAAACAAATGTTGACTTATGTGACTTTGATGTGCATGGAGTTGACTTGAAATTGTTAATGAAATATGTTTGGTGCATGTTTTGTTAATCATGATTGTAAGATTCTATAGGCACCTGAAGTCATTGGTGGAATGCCAGGTGGGCACTTCGACATATGCTCCCCCTCTTTTCTCCCCCCCCATCCTGTCATTTTTTCTAAAAACATATGAACATATTGGGAAGAAGATATTTTTATGAACAGACACACACCACCCCTTTCTTTTTGTGTTCCCTCTGGTGCTCTATTTATTTTCTGGGTTATTTTCTTCCATTGAAAGCTCTGATGTAATTGATGAGATTCTTGCCTTGTGTGCTCTCATTTTATCAAGTTTCTCTACTGCCTCAACATTGGTCATACTTGGCCTAATTCAACACTGACAGACAACTTTGCCGAGGCATAGCTCAATGCTGACAGACTTTATGGTGATGAAAGTTTGGTTGTAATAGAGTGCTAATAAATATTCTGTTCAGGTCATCTATGAAAGAGGAATAAGCCTAACTGTGTTTGGAGGGTTCGTTCTAGATTTGAGCTATGTAAACAAGATGTCTGTTGTTGTACTACAGCTGAGCAAAGAGTTTCCAGCAAGGGAGCTTAGGCAAAAAAGACAAAAAGGAGAATAATTTTAAAGAAACACTAAATGTTTGAATTGTAAGTCCTACAAAAGTTAGCTAATTAGTCTTGTTATCATACCTGAACTACATCAATTGTTGTCATGAACAAATGTCTGCTTTCAATATGTATCACTTGAACATAATAAAATGGCAAAAAAATGTCAAATCGTTTTTGTTTCATTTTAATGCAAGGAGAACTGTGAGAAAATAATGTCTACATTCCTATCAGAGCAATAGATATACCACACTGAGCTTGAATGTATTTGGACTTGAGTGTTGAGCAGGGCTAGATACTACAACAATGGTGCAGTTGTGGACTTAAGTGTATGACAGGAATCCATACAACAGCAAAGGTGGTGTTTTGTACTTGTTGGACAAGGCTAGATACTCGTGACCTTATTGTTACTCAGGGTTAGATACTACAACAATGGCGGTGTTGTGGACTTGGTGTTGGACAAAGATTCAAATCAAGAACTTTTATTAATATTTTATTATAAATTTAATGTACTTATATTATGTCAATGTATCTATCAGAACAGAAATATAGCTATTAAAATTTAAAAAAGAACACAAATTTATTGAAAAAGAAAATTATCAACTTAGCCCCCACAAAAATTGGCTGTCAATAATAATTAATTAAACAGAGGCAACTGTTCACGATTTTTTTTTTATATTTGATTTGAGGAGCTGTTTTACGAAGGGCCAGTCCAAAGTGTGGACCAATCTAAAACAAATATTATTGGAGTGAATACATGATTATATAACGAGAACACATGCATTCAGTCATCCCATCAATCAGCCTGCTTCACATACAATTCGATAATCTTGTGTTACTTATACGTCAAATGTAGAGAACCATTGTTGGTAGGACCAAAAATAAGTTTGAGTGAAGTTTTTGTTCAATCTGCTCAGACACGCTAGCAGGCACTTTAGCTGGTGATTTTTCAACCTGTTTTAAGAGACTCTAGATTCTCTTCCACCTTCCATTTTCTAATTAGAAGAGTGGTTAAATTTAAATTATGAATTAAGTTTCCTCCTTAATTAAAGCAAAAGACGCAGAAGTGTTTTATCAGAAGTCGTTTTAAACATGCTTTGAATCCACTTACGATTGCCTACTTACGATTTCCTTTGGTCCTACTTTTAGATGGACATTCTTAAAAGCTGATATATTTTTTTTTAAACTTTAATTTATTTCCTAAAAATCAATCTTTGAGACGTTGTATTCTGAGAACACTGAGATTGTGTTTAAAATGAAACCAATTTAATATCCCAACCTGCTGTGCCTTATTCGTCCACACCAAGCTAAAAGCACCTTCTCACAAAGAGCTCACGTCTGTAATCAATGCATTTATCACTTTGCTCTGCTTTGAACTAATGTAAGAATTTCATCTAAATGGTTAAAAATTCCTTTACAAACAAACTGAACTCCCAATCAGAACCGTAAGCCATGAAATATATTTTTTTTAATTAAAAAAAAATTATAAAAATAAACAATGCTTCTTTTCTCTGGCTGTAACAATTGGCTGAAAATACAGTAATTATTTTCATGGGTCTGGGAAATGATGCACAAACCAGGGTCATTAAAAACTGGCATAAACCTGGCAAGTGGCAATTCATGGCGAATTATTTGTAACAATCTTTGACTCTGCTACAAGGTCTCTTTCACCCCCCCCCACCCCCCGAGGATCATAGTAAGTAATACAAGGACACTGTTACAGGGGGAGGGAGGGGTCGCTGGACCTGATAACAACCTCGTACTGATCCACTGTCTGCTATGATCTGATATGTGAAAATATTCGATGTGAATGTTGAAATGAAAGAAGTGTTTCTATGAATTATTATTTTCGGTTACCGGAAATTTGATCAAAAGAAATTTCGTCGACGGAAATTGATCAAATTACCGTCGATCAATTTAGCGTCGACGAAATTTCTTTCGATCAAATTTCCGGATAAGATTATTTTCTATTAAAATGTAAAGGGCCTATAAATATAAATGCCGATTGATATCTCTGAATTCTCTATAAACTACGGTAACTTTTAGTCTTACTAGCAGCGCGTATTTAAATGACTTCATTTGAGAAGAGCATTTCAAAACTTGAATTCATAAAGAACTATTTGCAATCTACCCAGTGTTCCCTCTAAGGTTTGTTGGTTCGTGTGGAAAATCATAAAGTTGTGAGCAAAATTTTCCAACATAAATTTTTTTGTGCGCAAAATTTTACAGCCTACAGACATAAGCGCACACTTGAGTGGAAATTAGCTGCGCGGTACTCAAAACTGCTGCGCGGCGTCTGTGAGATTACTGCGCAGCTTAAAGGGAACATTGAATCTACCACGGGAGAGTCGAGGTTGTATTACCATGCGATTTGATCAAATAAAAGTAAATGTTTGTGTTTATTAATCTACTAGAAATGACCAATCAGTCAATGAAATCAATGCGAGAACTTCCCATCTACTAGAAATGACCAATCAGACAATGAAATCAATGCGAGAACTTCCCATCTACTATAAATGAATTAGACAATGAAATCAATGCGAGAACTTCCCATCTACTAGAAATGAATTAGACAATGAAATCAATGCGAGAACTTCCCATCTACTAGAAATGACTTAACAGACAATGAAATCAATGCGTGAACTTCCCATCTACTATAAATGACTTAACAGACAATGAAATCAATGTGTGAACTTCCCATCTACTAGAAATGACTAGCCAGACAATGAAATCAATGTGTGTACTTCCCATCTACTAGAAATGACCAAACAGACAATGAAATCAATGTGTGAACTTCTCATCTACTAGAAATGACCAAACAGACAATGAAATCAATGTGTGAACTTCCCATCTACTAGAAATGACTAGCCAGACAATGAAATCAATGCGAGAACTTCCCATCTACTAGAAATGACTTAACAGACAATGAAATCAATGCGTGAACTTCCCATCTACTATAAATGACTTAACAGACAATGAAATCAATGTGCGAACTTCCCATCTACTAGAAATGACTAGCCAGACAATGAAATCAATGTGTGAACTTCCCATCTACTAGAAATGACCAAACAGACAATGAAATCAATGTGTGAACTTCCCATCTACTAGAAATGACCTAACAGACAATGAAATCAATGCGTGAACTTCCCGTCTACTAAAGTTACTTGATGTAAAGCACTTTATAAGAGTCCCAATTAGTACTAATTTCTTTAGTTTTATTTTGCACGCCAATGGAACACAGCGTTAAAGCCATTCCTATTCATACCTGCCTAGAGACTTGTTTTTTGTTTTGTTTTTGTTTTGTTTTTGTATTTGTTTTTTTTTTAATGATTGGCAAAGGATTGTAATTTTGATTGAGTTATTGACAGATTCGCTGTGCTTCGAAGATTGCTATAACCCCGCCCCCCCCCCCCCCCCCCCCACA